GAACTTCTCACGGTACCCTTCCGCTGTGAGGCGAAATCGCTGAAATAGAGCCAGTTTCACTTTCTCGTAATCAAGTGCATCTTCAGGGGATAGGCGACCAAACACTTTTAGCGCTTCTCCGCTTAGGCACAAACTCAGAGCCGTGGCCCACTTGTCTCTAGGCCACTCTTGCCCTGTCGCCACATTCTCGAACCTTTTTAAGTACGCATCTAGGTCATCCCGGTTTTCATCAAATCCTGGTATAAAATTATGAGGATTGACGTTGGAAGACACCCTTGATGATCGACCTATGTCTGCCCCGACAGGCTCTCTGGCGGTTTCAGTCTGAGTCAGTTGAAGGCGCAATTGGATCGTCCTTTGGGCCTGCTCCTCGACTTGTAATTGCAACTGCATTTGTTCCTTCTTCGCCTCTCTTTCTGCCGCCCTTTCCTCACGAGCTCGAGCTTCTCGCTCATCAATCCAAGTTTTCAATTCCGCACCTTCCAAACCCATGCGCATGGCCAACGCCATTAAATCTGTCGAGCTCATCTTTTCCTCACTAATCGTCAGCCTGACTCAAGCGATACAAATGGCCTCGTCCTGTCGCGGACGCCAGTGTTACATTGCAGTGGGTGTTATAGCAACGTGCAGGTTCTTAGTTAATGGGTGTCCGAGCCGTCGCCCCAGACTCCCACGAAAAGACGAGGCCGTTTGTACGCCACACTTTATACACACGAAAAACGAACACACATAACATGGACAGGCTATTTAAAGAATCCTTCACTGTCTCTGTGAACTATCAAAGTCCTAAACTAACCGTCCCTCCTTTTTAACATGGACACAAGACATGAGGTCGGTCTCACCGAGGTTCGTTGCTACGTCTTGAGCTGGCTCGCGTTGTCCGCACGGTCAACCAGGCGACTAGTTGATGGGTAGGCTCCGCCCCCGCAGCCACGTCGCGGCTGGACACATCTGCTGGAGCTCGTGCCCGTAGCCCGACAGCTCCGCGTTGCTCGCACGGTAGACGAGGCGGCAACTTGAAGGGTATACGCACCACCACCGACCACGTACAGGCCGGACACCTCCGCTGGAACTCGTGCCCGTAGCCCGACAGCTCCGCGTTGCTCGCACGGTAGACCAGGTGGACCAGTTGGCGCGGTAGACCAGGCACTACCACCGGCCGCGTCCCGGCCGGACACCTCTGCTGGAACTCGGGCCCGTAGCCCGACAGCTCCGCGTGTCCTCAAGCACAGGATGCCTTGAAGCCGCAGCACGTCAGCGACGCACGGCCGTGGCAGGTAGAACGTGGCAGGTAGGCCGGGCTCGACTGTTACTAGGCTCGGGTCCGGAACCCAACGGCCGAGTCGAGAGCCCCGTCTTCCTCGTTCCTTTTCGTACCTTCGCCGCCACGCTACTCAGCTCTCGTGCTACCTTCGTCGTTGTCTGCTTCAAGCGCGCACTTTGTATGGCGCGCACTTTGAAGCTTCGCGCACGACACATATCACAGTCCCCCTTTCCTTCATAGATCATGCTCATCCTGCTAAGTTTTCATCCATCGGGAACTTCACCATCGATTATTATTTTGCTAACTGCCTCTCTCAAAGCCTGCTTAGACTTCGGACCTAATGTCTTTATCGGCATAATTGGAATGCCATCTGGGCCTGTTTATGTACTACTAGGAACCCTTTTCTCAGCTCTTTCCCACTCTCGTTGTGAAAATGGAGCCATTGCACCACTTGATTTGCCCTTGTCTATTGTGGTGCATAAGTACTTCTTTGTTGAAATTTTTCTGTCACCCTTGTTCTTATATATTCAATAGCTTCGTCCCCTTCTAGCCTAGCACCTTGGGCTGTAGTTATAAAACTCTGCTCTAGGCTCGTCTCATTTCTTAGGGAGTTTAGATGGTTCCGAAATTTCGCAGCTGCCTTTCTATCTTTTTTATGCACTCCTGCCAGCCACTGAGATCCCTTTCTTCTAATATTTTCATTGATCAGAAGGGATGCATCCCTTCTACAGCTTAGAAAGGTTTCCCAATTTCTTTCAACATCATCTGTCGGTTCACCCCGCTGCTTAGCATGCCTGTGTTCCCTAGAGGCTTCCTGACGTTTTGCTATGGCTCTCTTAATTTCCTAATCCCACCAACTTTTGGGTTTGTGTCTTCTTTTCCGGGGTGACTTGTCACGCGTCTTAGCAAGCTCTAGCTCAAAGAGTCTAATTAGATTCGTGTATGTCCACACTGTCTTATTATCCTCCGTGATGATTATTTTCTCAATTGGTTTACTGGCTATTTGAATTTGCCTTTCTGGATAAAAATTTTCCTGTAGTTGCTCATCTTGTCTCCTTCCCACTTTCACTGCTCTTGCAAAACTTAGCTTGATACGTTTGTGATCACTACCCAGACTTCTGGAGCCACCTTCATCAATGTGCATTCCCCTGAGCTTATCATACATCCTATGTAACATCAGTGCATAATCTATCGTCGACTGCAGCCTTCCTACCTCCCATGTTATTTGCCCTTCACACTTCTCGGTACTGTTGCAAATGATCAAATGAAGTCTTTCACACATATCCATGATTATTTTGCCTGTCGGGTCGGTATACTCATCTATATCTTCTATGTGCGCATTCATGTCTCCTAGTATAATTATCTCGCACGCTCTTCCTAACTCCTGAATGTCCTTTGATATATTGACTGGTTTTCCTCTCTGGCCTTTGCTCCCGTCCACAAGTACACGAAACCAAGGAGTGTCACTTGACCTGCCACTTTCCCTTTTAGCCATAAATGTTCCTTGCACTCCTGCTTGACCCTTTGCCAGTCTGTACTTTTATGAATAAATGCCCCAATACCACCCCCCTTTCTGCTGCCTTCTGTTCTATTACAATATTTCCACGCGTAGTCCGGATTGTTCGGAGGTTGTTTCATGTCTTTGAGATGTGTTTCTACAAAACCGTATACCATCGGCCTCTCCTCCCTTAGCTTTTCTTCTAGCTCTTCCCACTTCAGCCTGTACCTACCACCCTGCATGTTAATATACCCTATGTCTGAATTGGCTCGGCGCTCGTGGCTACGTCTATTTCTACCCCGGACTCTACCTATCTTAGATACTGGTGCCACTTTGGGATCGTATCTGTTTATACCACCTGGGAAAGAGTCTCCCTGGTTGTTTTCCTCGTTACCAACTAGCCTGCACCCCGAAGGGCCCGCTTGCCCCCCCCCCCCCCAAAAAGCTACTGCGCGTCCTGCAAATCGCCAACCCACCTCATGACCTAGCCGCCCATCGAAGTGAAATCTGTCTCGTTGAAAACCACCCCACCTATGCACCTCTCTGTTTATTTCCACCACCTCAAAGCCTTTTTGTCGACTTATCCACCATATCTCTTGGTTTGCGTTGACAACCGCTCTTTGCAGGTTACTATCACGCACCGGTACCTCCGGTATCGTGCATATCACTGCCTGTACCTTAGGAGAAGTGGCGCGCATGTCATCGACGCCTTTCGCCAGTGTGGTTGCTAGTCCTGCTGTATCTTCATTTGAGACATCGTTTAAACCGCCTGAAATTATGACGAGGTTTTGTCTGTCAGCTGTGGTTTTGAGTTTTGCGCTCGCTTGCCTCATGACTGCTTCAAGCTTGCGTCCTGGGAACGCCCCTACTGCAACCCTCTTGTCACCTCTTACCCTCTCTTTGATGGCTTCTGTGCATCGATTTAAATTCGAGTTCCCGGCGATTATCAATGCTGTGACTTTTCAGCTGGAGCGTCCTGCACCTGGGGGCTACTCGCACCTGTGACGCCGGCTGCTTTGTCCCCTCCCAGCCCCACCACTACCTCGCTGAAGCTGGGCCTTGTGACAATTGAACCGGCTGAACCTGTTTTTTTCCAAACTTGCTTGCTCTTCCTTCTCCACCGTTCTGGTTGCCGGTTCCCTACTGTTCTCTCCGTAGGCCGCTTTTTTGTTCAGCTTCGCTAGTGCTTCCTCGGCGGACTTCCGTATTTCTCCCATTGCCCTCGTTTTCTCTTGCTCTGTCGCCAACGCAGTCTCGAGCTCGGCGATTCTCATCAGCAGTTCACTCTGGGCAACCATCATTTTCTCCATTTTTTCCTCGACCTCGCATTGCCTACACTTCCCGTCAGCCTCTTCTCTATCCACTTCTACGCTTGGATCAACTTTCAAACCCACTCCACATCCTGAACACTTTACAGTCTTTTTAACCATGTCTTTCTGACACCAATTGTCCCTATACTCGATAATTACTAAACTCGAGCCCTGCACTACGAAAAAAAAGAAAGTCTAAGCTCTACTACAAAATTTTGCGTGTTCACTGTACGCGCACCTCCCGCACGGGGTGGCAAAAGAAAAAAAACAAAAAATTTCAAACACACACACCTGCAATAATTAATAAATACCTGGTGACTGGCCCCCGAAAAGGCCGTACCATAAAGTAAGTGCTACGAAGATTTTAACCGCTGCCTAATAATTAGAAATACAAGCTCAAAACATGCAAAAACACTTATCTGCGCAGTCTATCCGTTATGCTCAAAAAACACGTCCATCCACCGTGACAGCCCGAACTGCTCTGTTAACACATATACATATAACGATACATAATAGCATAGACAGTGCCATCTAGTGAGCAATTCTTAAAGCTAGAAGTGGCTACTACAACATACTATTACAGAGGAAGAAACGCCCCACAACTTAAGGAGTGTCGCCCCTAAAACGTCAAGGTTGTGCCGTTCCCGAGGTGCACCACGTTCTCTCGATGGTATAGGAAGAATGATTGCACGTTTGTTAGTATATACAGAATGTTAACGGCGGAAGATTGGGAGAATATGAAAAGTAGTTGCAGTTTTATGTGCTCTACGTATACACAATGCGGTACAAAAATATTGCCACGACGTCTAACGTCCCTGGTTGTGATTAACCTATTGTGGCAGCTGATGTGGACACAGCCTGGGGTGAATCCTGCGCGAAGGTGGCATCTCAAATAGGCGCCGGCGGGTGGAGCAAAAGAGGCAGTCACTTTTTACGTAAGCCACCCGTCTTCCGCACGTGTTTATTTCAATATCGGTCAGTTATTTCAACGTTCACAAAAAGAAACGAGCCAACAACGTCGTGAGCAAAATTTCTTCAACATTTGCTTTTATGCCACGGAGTTCGTTTTGCGCCGGTTTACACCACCAAAGGAGTCAAGTGTGCAAGTTAACAGATATATCTACTGAGCTGGTGGGGCTGATGGAATGAAACATTCGCCGACGAAGCTGTCATTATGGTGACTCGGTGCATACTGTTCGTTGTCGTAGCAACCGCTGAACTCGGGATGCACAGATCCTGGCCCTGGGCCCGAGAATTCCTGTTGGATGGTCGCAGTCACGGAGGCCTCGTTGAACGCGTCTCGTGGCCTTCCAGTGGTGGGAATTTGAGAAGTTGAATGAGCGGTTGCCAGTGATGACGCGGCTGCTCCGATATGGGACTTCTGTTGCGTCGCGCTCGAAATGGTGAACACCCTGCACACCGAAGCACCGCAACGTCTCGGTTACTGCTCAGTTGGGCCTACGTTCAGCCTATGCCGAAGCTATTATGAAAAGCGGATTAGTTGTCTACCTAAGGAACCATGCCACACACCCTTTTATACTCCAGAGAAGGTGTATTTTGGCAAGTCTTTGAATTTAGTCGGATGCTACTGAAAAAGTTCCAAGACGCCCAGGCTGACAAAGCGTGGCCGCACCTCCGGAATGGTCCTGGTCGTGCTCTCGGCAATGTTCTCCGAAGGAATGCAGCCCGACTCGTGACGTCAGCCTGGAGATTTGTGTCACGCACATTCAAGGAGAAAATCTCACGTCTAAACCTGAATCCGGCTATCATCATCATCATCATCATCAGCCTGATTGTGTCCAATGCAAGACAAAGGCCTCGCCCATGTTCCGCCAGTCAACTCAGTCCTGTGCTTGCTGCAGCTACTTTATACCATAATACATAAGGTGCTCTAGCATAGGTGCTTCACCGGATAAATCACTCCTTCCCTTCATTTTCGAAACAGCAAGAAGTTCGGGGGAATGATGAAAATTTCGACAACGTTGTGGTGTTGCTGAAGCCGGCGTCTCGACAAGTGGACTTTTCTTCGAGGCTTCAGCTCTATGCATTGAAGAAGACGAGTTCACTTCTCGAAACGTCGGCTACAGCAACACCACTTGGCGAATTTCACATTCGTGTTTTTGAATTTGATGAGCGAGGTGGTTCTACCATCGTTATCTTGTAAATAATTTTGTCTGAGGAAATTGTGCTCTTCACTGCCGCTTGCTGCAACGCCGAAAAGCCTTTCCTTCCTGTAACTCATTCATCTTTTAATGGGTGCGATGATTCAAAAGAAGCACTGGGCATCTAAGTTTTGTTCTTGGGACATTAACTGGGCTATCTCCTCTGGGATATTTCAAGCTTGCGTGACACCCTTACCACCCCCCTCCCCGATCCCCAACTTCCCAAGGAACGACAAAACGTAGCCCAGAGAATCTTTGTACTTCCGTTTAACTGTGCAGAAAAGAAGTTCCTCGTCTATTTTCTGTAAACGCATCACCATTTACAATATATCGGTTAGGCGCTCACCCATGCTGTCGCTAGGGTTGCTAGAAATAGTGGTCAAGTTTTGGAACATACCCTTCATTTCTGAAAAAAAAGAGAAGGCCGTTTGATTGTGCAGTGACTTCTGGAGAAAGTTTGTCATTATCCCTAACACAGATAGTGTTTGGTCATGCGGAACAATCCTCTATTTTTCTTTTGTTTTCCTAGTTTAGGTAACAAGCGTTTTCGATATGCGACAGAAGCCCCTGAGAACGCAGCCTATAGCACAAGGGTTTCAAACATGTAGCCTATTGTTTTTCCCTGGACAAGCTTTTGTTCCTTTGCTAAATAGTACTCGCAAAGCTACACATGATGAGACTGGTCTTCTCTCTCTCTCTCTCTCTCTCTCTCTCTCTCTCTCTCTCTCTCTCTCTCTCTCTCTCTCTTTTTTTTTTTGCTTGAGGCCATCTTTGCAGTCAACATTAGTTGAAACTTCACTCTGGAACAAAAATTCTGCATTTCATAGTCGACGTCCTAATTTTAGTCATTGCAGAAATAATAATGCGTGTGTTTCTCGAAATCTGACGTCTAAATTAGGCTCCTCTCTTGCTATTCTCTCCCATTTGACGTGCCGATTGCTCTGGCCTGCACTAATGAATACTTTCACTTTCATAACGAAATAAGTATTACAATACTTTTGTCGAATGCTCTTCCAACACTGCCTGTCTCAAGTATTCATTTTCCCATTTAACTATTAAAGATTGGAACCCACTCAAACCTAATCTAATCACTGAATCATTCACAAACTTGTTTAGCACTGTGATTGAAAAACAATAGCTTGCCTCACGAATAGCGCTAACGAAATTGATTGAATGAAATTTTATTCATTTAAATAACTTTATTCTTCACAAAAAAATTACAACTCAGTAAACCCATGAAGTATAAAACAGTGAGCCATGTTACTACTACAAAGTTGCTGTTTTTCAATTTTTTTGGATAGTATGATTTCAAGTAATAAATTTTTGCATACTTTTTTATTACTGATGTGTGCTTGCTGACCGCACATCACGCTACAAGTGCACACATTATCTTTTTGAAGTTATTTTTAGCGCTAATCTCGCCCGTGATTTCGTTGTTACTAAAACGGTTTGATTGTGCAATCTTATAATGGTAATGTTTAATGTGTGACTTTGTGTGTCATTTAATAAACTTGACCGTGTGATTATGTGATTTAATTCATATATGGCTTGGCGAAAACAAATATTCGTTTTCGTACGTCCTACCTGCTATAATCTCTGATGACATAGGCAGCATTGTTAAATAAAAATAAATAAATAAATGCACATCTCATTGACTTCATGTTTCAGAATTATTTCTTGCGTGCATAACTTACACGTCTTTTCTATCAAATAAAATATAGCCGTATTTACGACAATTCTTGTTTAACACTTACCACGAGTCGTTACACAACTTCGGCATTCACACGAGGCCCATGTATTGCTTTTCTTTTCATGCTATAACACTGCTGATTCTGTCTTACTGCAGGTAAAGCTCTGTGCAGTAAGCACAGCAAACAATCATGCTTGTAACCCGTCGAATGTTGCTGCGCTTGAGGCGCTTATACTTGTGAGAAAAACGCCATCTCTTCATAATTATTCAGGACTGCAGCGTGCACGATCGAAGGTAAGAAAACGTCAGGCCCGCGCGGAAGGCGCAGCACATTCACAGCGAAGGCCAGAAGAGCGGCCTTTCAGAACCTTTTCTAAACACTCATTGGGTAACTGATGCAAGCACACTTGCTCGATGCCCACTACGGCATTAATAATAAAATTTTAGTTTAGTACGCCGGCATTCACTTGGCTGTTTTTCGTCATTCTTCTGAGAAGCGTGGTATCCGCTAAACACTTGCAAGACATTTTGTGCCAATTGTTCATGCAGTGGCTGACGATGACAAGGAATTATGGCTGAACTGGGTATGCACCACAATTAATAGGGAAACCAGAACACGCTTTTTGTAATGGGTTGGAGCATTGGCCGGCCCACTCGTTACGCTATTCGCAATGTGCGACGACTGCTTGTTCTTTCGCTGTTTTAAGACGCTTTATCAGTCGTATTAGCGCGTTTGCTTTCTCGACATAAAGCCTGTCTAAGGAAAATTGGCCAACGATTCCCAAGCATTGGCGTGGCTGAGTGGTTAGTAAAGAAAAAAAAAACGGCGTGGCTCAGTGGTAGAATGCTGGGCTAGCACGCTAAGTTTTTTTTTTTTTCTAATTTTGCGCGATGTGGTTACGCACACCGGCAGCGGCGGCGGACAACTACGGCTTTGCGCGAGTCCCTAGTTGTGATCTCATAACAGCTTTCGCTGTAAAAAAGCGATAAGCTCACCGTTTGGCTTTCGACGGAGACTGATCAAGCGACGTCGTTGAGCAGTCGAGATAAGTACTCAAGGAATTACTTTCATCCACACTCGAGAACCCGGTAACATTTTCCACTGGAAGGCAGCAAAAACAAAACAAACTTTGTATATGGTTGTCACCGCGTAGGACTGCAGTTGCTCGTTAATTGTACAAACGCAAATATCTCATCAGTTTAGACCGCCTCCGACCAACCAACATGCTTTTCAAATGGGATATAAAAGCACACTTGAGAGTGCCAAAATACAGTACCGCATGCGTGAAATCACCTGGATTTATTCTCATAGTGTATGGGCTTTCTTTGCCAACACCAGTTAAAATCACCCGCAGAATGTACGCTGCTACGAAAAATTGGATCGGTCAATCTGTATTGGCCTATAACACGTAAATATATATATATATACTTGTAATGAAACAGCGTTGGCCCTAAAGGGAAAGTTATTATGAGGTAACCTTTGGCGGCGTGTTGTGTGTAGCACAATTAATGCGGCTGATAGGTGTTCTGTGGCTGATGCAGAGCGCGGAGACAGTGCCCGACCCGTCAACTAACGAAGCTGATCGGTTCCGCGAAGGCGAACGCGGGAGACCTGCGCAAGGGAAATGAAGGAGACTCCTTCGTTCACACGGTTTACGAGCAGATCCGTCAAGGTCGCCCCCGTTCGGGATTAGAAGGGGAAGGCTTACTTGGAAGACCGTCTGGCAAGAAGCAGGCCAGGCGCCACCGTCTGAGTTTAGGCCATTGTTGGCAAGCACGCGTGCCGTTGAGAATGACGCGGGGACGCGACCACTTGGCTGACCGAGACGTAGTGGCGGCAGGGAGACGAGCATAACCTCCCCCGCTGTACGTCATTACCGAGTGCTGTTAGGATGTCGGGGCACCTCGCTGTCGCATGCACACCTGGTCAGCGCACAGGGCCATAAACTGTAATCTGCGCGCTTACGGAGGCTTCTACGAAGCAACGTTAATGAGAAAGTTGATAAAGCCCGAGCGTGAGAATGGCTACCGACAGAGGTCGGCCGTGATACGGCCTGGCACGGGAGAAAGTGTGACACGCGGAGAACCTATCCCTTTGAGTGTTGTAATTGGTCACGTGGTTTTTACCAATGAACTGTGTTATGAAAGTGTTTCCGCAATTGGTTGAGATGATACGAGTCCCAACGTGTGATTGGCTTGTGTTAAGACTATTTGTTCAACCGAGGGTTGAAAAGAGAATGTTTGAATCTCAAATGAGAGAGCGAAGATTCGGGCTTGGACTCGGGCAGGCGCCTGAGGCTGCAATAAAGCGTCTCTTCAGCAGACTACGGCTCTTCCGTCGCGCTGCCACCGTGCTCTCGAGTCATCGAGGGGACCCATATCGAACCTCAAACATCTTCCCTTCTTAGCCAGTGTAGAAGCTAATCTAGGAGGAGGAAATTAACTGGGAACATCAATACTTTCGGACACTTGACCTTAGTTAACTAATTAAGAACAATATACAGTTGTACCCAAAACCAACAAAAGTTATATTTCATGCATATTGTGCGTGAAATATTGCTCAATGACAGCCCTGGATACATTACTTAGGAGACATGATAATTTCTGTGAATTTAACACATAAAACAAAGAAATGAATATAATCGCAGTTAAATTCAAGCGCCTGTTTCAGAAACGAATTAGCTGCGTATACCGAGTTTGGTACATTTCAAGCTAGCGAAACAGCGGTGAGCGCATCATAAGCGTAGCATGTAATCATGTTGTTACAAGGCACGCATCTCATGTTTATATTGTTTACACCAGTATCGTACCTTTATCATCCATTCACGTCCAATATTACCAAGTTTGGTATAAGAGAAGCTAGCAAAACGGCCGCCAGCGCATCATGAGCGTGGCATGTAGGTAGTCATGTTGTTACATGACACGCATGTCATGATTTTCATGTTAGGGTCTGTCGCTTGTGTTCGCAATGCAAGCATGTCATACAATACCAGTTTTCCAACATGCCATGTGAACGAAACCACCGCAAGAGCTGCAGGACCATGAAATGTAAATCATGACATTCATGACATACATGTCATGATTTTCATGTTATGACTAATCAAATGTTCTTCATACAGTCATGCTATGTCATACCAGGTTTGGTATAGATACCATTATCGAAACTGCCAGGAGAGCTAAATGTGACAGACAGACAAAGATATATAGAGACAGACAGACAGACAGACAGACAGACAGACAGACAGACAGACAGACAGACAGACAGACAGACAGACAGACAGACAGACAGACAGACAGACAGACAGACAGACAGACAGACAGACAGACAGACAGACAGACAGACAGACAGACAGACAGACAGACAGACAGACAGACAGACAGACAGACAGACAGACAGACAGACAGACAGACAGACAGACAGACAGACAGACAGACAGACAGACAGACAGACAGACAGACAGACAGACAGACACAGACAGACAGATAGATAGATAGATAGATAGATAGATAGATAGATAGATAGATAGATAGATGATAGATAGCTAGATAGATAGATAGATAGATAGATAGATAGATAATGATAGATAGATAGATAGATAGATAGATAGATAGATAGATAGATAGATAGATAGATAGATAGATAGATAGATATATAGATAGATAGATAGATAGATAGATAGATAGATAGATAGATATAGATAGATAGATAGATAGTAGATAGATAGATAGATAATAGATAGATAGATAGATAGATAGATAGATAGATAGATAGATAGATAGATAGATAGATAGATAGATAGTAGCTAGATAGATAGATGATAGATAGATAGTAGATAGATAGATAGATAGTAGATAGATAGATAGATAGATAGATAGATAGATAGATAGATGATAGATAGATAGATAGATAGATAGATAGATAGATAGATAGATAGATAGATAGATAGGATAGATAGATAGAGAGATAGATAGATAGATAGATAGATAGATAGATAGATAGCTAGATAGATAGATAGATAGATTAGATAGATAGATAGATAGATAGATAGATAGATAGTAGATAGACTCCGAAAATAGCAAGGCATTGCTGTAAAGGTAAGTAAAACATTATGTTTTGGCGGACAATGCTACACATTATGAAGCGGAGTGTATGAAACACATGGTTGATTGCATCAAGTGTTAAAGCGAGGACTGGTGCCTTTAGCTGAAGAGGGAAGTGGACGGAGTGGTATGGAAGCGGTTACTTCTTAAATTTGACATTTTGGCTGGTTGGTGATGCTTGGTCATCCACGGCGTGACTACACCCCAACAACAACAAGAACAACACGGATGACAAGGCATAAAGGCATCCATGGCAACATATAAATATGCGGTTCTGACGTTACCAAATGCAATGCGCACAAGGTTAGACGTCTGTAACTCATTGTACATGAGGGTAAGAAGGGCAGGAAGTAGAAATTCTAGAGGGCGAAATTTGGCAAAGCGCCAGCGTCGTACCGATGCACCAGAATACCGTTGCATTGGCGTAAAGTTTGCACCTATATTCTGCTCACAAAAAAGTCCGCGCTTATAAATTTTATAATCTAATAAAGAATAGAGTATCCGTGAGTTGTGGTTGTTAAATAAATCTAAAACAGGAATTGGGGAAAATAAGCACGCTTTTGATCATAAACAGAAGGAACGAACATTCACCGTGACTAATGAGTTTAATGCGTCATGTATTGCTGAAACATTGTAAAAACCACATACTTGGGATCATTTCGTCCTTCTGAAGATTGATGCTTCCTTCAAGACTGTTACTGAGTTGGTCTTGCTGCTGTTCTAGACGGTTAATCAGGACGATCATAGCCTGCAAAAATGGAAATACGAGATATATATATTTACATATCTTAGCCCTAGTTGAATATCAGTGCCTATAAATACACAATATAAAAAGCAGTGCCAACATGAACACTAACCTCAAAATCGACTTCGAGAGCAGCTTTAGACTGTTAAGAACTTATAGTAATTATTATAATGAGCTTGTTTAGCGGACATTCGTGTGTCGCTGTCAGACCCCCTTCTTTGCGAGTGAAAAATCGGCGCTGTCTGTGAGCTAAAACTCGAGACAGATTGAAATAAATAAATAACAATAAAACCTTAGACTCAAGAGGAAACGAACCAATGGCTTCTTTATAGCAAGCAGACTTTACGCCACAGAACCACGCCTGCAGTGTGCTCGAAATTCCTTCAAAGCACTAGGTGAATATTATGCAGTGCGTTAAGTGTTATCACCACGCAATACTGCATGACAGAAGCGTATAATGACATGTACCAGGCGTCAAAACAAGTGAGTTGCACAAACTGTGTCTTGAAACCCATTAACTGCAAAAAAACACGCATAATTATCATTATAAATACCAACATCAAATGTAAAGCTGCGCAGAAGTGCTCGTTGCTTTACGGACATGCATTACTTGCCAACTCGCAAAAAAAAAAAGTTGTGTCGCCGCGTTTCGCAATTGTATTTGCAGTAGGCATTCTAGGATAGTTTGAAGGGGACAATATGCAATCACACAGTCGCTTTTTTTTTTTTCTTCCCGGTCGAGGTGTCGCCCAAGTAGCGAAGCTACGCTATAGCGATTGAGAAGGTGGCGCGTGGACCCGGTTAGACTATCGCGTTCTGCTCTTGAAGGCGAAACTCCAGCGTCCTGGAAGTTTTTCATGTTGGCTACGTTGAATGTTCAGAACTCAATTGGTTCTTTTATTGTTAAACTAACTTCCTGAAAAGAACCGCTGACTGCACTCAGTCTGACGATAGTTATAGCGCGAGAACAAAACAACGACACAGAGACAAGAAAGACACGAAAGACACGAGCGCTAGCGCTCGTGTCTTTCGTGTTCTTCTTGTCTCTGTGTCCTTGTTTTGTTCTCGCACTATAACTATCCTCATGCCATACCAACTAGCCCAAGCTGCCACACTTCTAAGTTGCACTCAGCCGTTACAACTCAGCCGCTACAACTCAAATTCACAATGCCCAGACTGCTCAGAAGTGTACTGTTCACTCGAACACATGCTCTGGCAATGTCCCGCGTTACCTCGAGGACCTCTCACCAGTGAGTCCGACTGGGAGGAGGCACTCGGGAGCCCCAGTCTCAGAAACCAACAAAAGGCAGTCGAGAGGGTCCAACAACTGGCGGAACGCCACCATGTTCCCGCCCCGACTCGGGCGTCGCCTACAATGGCGCCTGCTAAAATGTCCCTCATGGACACCCTGCACGTTGCCTTAAACTCCTCAGGACCATTTAATAAAGTTCTTGACTGACTGACTGACTGACTGACTGACTGACTGACTGACTGACTGACTGACTGACTGACGCAGGAAGGCAGTGAATGATGGTAGAATCAAATAACGAAGAAGTGAGAACGGAATAAACATGGCATATCAGTCGGGCCACGTCTCAGTCATCATAGAGTTACACAAGTCGACAGGATGAAGACCTGCCACCCTTCATCAGTCGTTCATCATCGACGCAGTTTCCCACAAGACGCGCTGACCATACATCGACTATCGAATTATATAGCAGTACACAGCGACCAGCTCCATGCTAGAACCATCGGACGACCTTGACATCCCAAAGTACACCGGATCAACGCGCAATGTACCCGTACAGGACTGGTTTGACCTATTCGAGCTCCACGATGCCGCTGCATCCTGGTCGGAACGGGAGATGATCACCAACTTCACTGACTACATCTCCGGTGAGGCATTTAAGTTTTACCTCACCCACATATTCGAGAACTATGAATCATGGCGAAAAATCAAAATGATCGTTCGATTTGAAGAATGCAATGACTAAGATGATGACTCGCTTACAACCCGTCATATGAAGGCAATTGATCTCAGTTGTCACAACCCCCAGCAGTCTTCACGCATTGGAACACCCTAAATGAGCCAGTCATTGCCATTCCGACAAAGCCAATCAAAACATGCGCTCGCTGAAATACATTCAGATCTGTTTCCACGAAGGGTTAATGTTCCATCGCGTTTTGCTACGGCGCGAAATTTGACCTTTACGTCATTACTTCACCATAGGACTCGTGTTACGGAACCACCCAATGCACTGTGCTCCCGGTCTCGAACACTTGGCTTATCACCTGGTTTTCCGGCACTAGACCCTTCGGTTGCTCCCTTCACCCACCTCACGACTAACACGCTTACTACAGTCGGGATAAAGCATACGAACTCGGCAGATACTCAGCCAAGCCTTGGACCTACTGTCGAGCGTCATGCGCCAGAAAAGCTCGCATTTTTAGTTGCACAAAAAGACGGTCATTCCCAACTTAAATCTGACCAAACCACGCCTGTTGCGGTGTCACCATCCAGTGCACAGGCACCTGGAAATCAAAACACAGGAGGCTCAGAAGCACTATCCCTCACTGGGTGCCATGGGCCAGAAGCCTCCGTAATAAACAATATCGCAAGCGCCACACACAGTCCTCCAGTCAGGCCTATCCTACAAACTTCACTGCCCAGAAATAATCGCAACGGCTACCAAGTACGTCCTTTTGCCAAGAAAACATTGTTCTCTTCCAGAAGGGCTTCCACATTAGCATTTTTCGCAGCACCAGCAAGGTCAGCACAAGCAAAGCGACATTGTATCCGGGCGCAGCCCAAGAAAAGTGAAGCAACGACATATTCAAGATGTCTCACTCGCGACAAGGAAAGCATCGAATCCAGGAAAATTTCTCGAGGCTCGTCTAAAAAGTTTTTCCAGAAGAGGCCAAAAGCGATTGAAACAACAGGAGACAAAACGACACATACTGCGTAAAACCACACCCCGTTTTTCAGAAAGACGCAGGCATTGCCCCGTTAGCGAACGAATACGCAAACTGGTAGTGCCTCGTGCGTACCATTCACGAGAAAGAACATGACGTGTGCGAAACTCGAGCCATGAGTGTACCATGGCGTTCCACCCTTGTACATTCCTCGCAAATTGCTGTGTCATCACCGATTTTGGCCTCAAAGCCGTGTTTCTGTTGACCAGAACACAACAGCCAGCCACGCCCACCAGAACTCCACTGGATATCAAAAGACGCCCTCTCATCTGAAATGTTTGTGCAAGTTTATGTAACCTTCATGTGACGTTGAACTACTGCATTTTCTGTCATTTTTTCTTATTATGAGAATCCGCTTGTTCATGGTTTAGAGTTTGTAGCTCGCGCACTTTTTTGGGGGGATGGGAAATCCTGTGACGTAGGAAGACAATGATGAAAGATTGAGAATGGAATAAACATGCACACACACACTATATATATATATATATATATATATATATATATATATATATATATATATATATATATATATATATATATATATATATATATATATATATATATATAAAATAGTCACATGATTATGGATAGCACAACCTCTGTTCACAGGAGCAGTGGACGTCGAGCCGAACCAGTCACCAGAAAGACGAGCTCATCGTCTACTGTTCTTTCTCACAATGGCACATACACGCATTAGCATGGCCCAGCGTCATTGAATGCCCGTGGCATTACCTTTATTCGAAAAAAAAAATACCATCCCGATACGTAATGCTGATTAGAATTGAAAGTAATTGTGCACACGCACGATGAAGCAGTGTCAGGTGGTTCTGGGGTATGTGCAGCTTCATCCTCGATACACGAACAATGTCCGCCTGCTGGGAACGTCGACATCGCCGAGCTGTGTTTTCAAGCAAGACTTCGTAGTTGGCATCCTTGATGCGCAGTAATACTCTAAGAACCGATGTAGCGTAGAAGTGGCTTTTCGAGTGACCCCTTTGGCGAAAGGAAATCCAGAGCCACACCAGATCACCGGGTTGGTAAATAACATGGCGATGACGAGAACCGTACCTCTGAGAGTCGATGCGTTGTTTTCGGATCCGCCCGAGAGCAAGCTTGTTGGCCGCCTCGGTGAGCCGTATATATTGTCACGTGACGATATTCACACACGCACACGCACACACACACACACACACATGCACACATGTACACGTGCAATGCGAACACCTGTTGCCTTTCAAGCACTCTAAACTCCCTTTCTTTTTGTAAAACAAGCATTATTTCCACATGGGATGGAGCAAGTGTTTTGCTTCCAAAAACAGCATTTTCATAAGCTGAAGCGTGTATACTTTACCTAAAACACCCTCTACCTCACGGCGCTACGAACTGTCGAAGCACAGTGGCCTTCACAAAAGGGTGCCAGTTACCCATAAAATTTGCAAAATAAAAATAAATTCGCCAATATAAGGAACATTTATAATAATAAGATCTGTCTGCTTTAGAGCCACCTACAAGACCACTGAAACTTCGCACACATTCTGTGAAAGTTTCTTTACTTATGCAGAGCAGGCCCGCCGGCATTGAGTGGTATCATGGCTATACATATACCATTTGGGTCGGCGTAAGTTTTCGTATATGAGGCAGTCTCTCAGTGTAGAGTCTTATTTTGCTGTCTTGTGTATTGTTGCGTGTATAGTGTGGTATTTCAGCTTTCAATACCGATGTTATTAAATAATCTCTAGCCTTTATATTTTTCTTTTCAGTGAATGGTGTGTTTTTGCGTTGGAAGTCACCCGTGTTAAAGGTGTTTTTATTAGTGAGAATGCCTTTTTCTTATTTTGCCAGGCATTATAAAACTTTCACCGTTTAAAGTGGTTTAATATGTGTGTGTGGGCCCACTTCACAACTCACCGTGCTACATTCACTCTCGTTTCGAGTGCACTCTCGTTTCATTATAGTCTGGTATTGGTATGGCGGTCAAACTAGGCCAAATCACATACACTAAAGCGTTGCAAGCCGACGTGAGCGGTAGCGGGCAGCGTCATACGCTGAATGCCGTTCACGTTGGGAAGGGATTATTGGTGGGGATTGGCAAGATGTTGCGGCATCGCATAATAAAGTCGAACACCGAGTTTTCGGGGCATCTAAAACGCGAAGTAGAACTACCTATAATTGTCTGTTTGATGCCTCAAAGTCGCCTACAGGACTTAAAAGCATGATGGTAAAAAAAAACGCGTTCTATTGCGTGTGTAAGTCTGCCAGCTGCTGCTTGGAACGACCAGAATAAAACTGACCGGAGTTTACCCCCTTCAGTCACGAATTATGATGTGCTGTCAGAAACAGATTAAATTCGCGTGGCAAAATCCCTAGGCCCTCAGTATAACATTCCAAGTAACAAAATGAAGGAAGACGTTGTGCCGTGTGAGTTTCAGTAATTATGTTAATGAGTGTAACTAAACACCTGATTATTCTGCCACCAGTCAGCTTCAGTACTTGCATAAAAAGAATCCGCGATTAGGCTCGAAGTAGATACACACTTTGTTTCTTGGCTGAATTTGTTTCGAGTGAAGAAAAAAATACTTTTCACGTAGGTCTTGGAATGCGTCACGTCGAACAACTGATTTATTGATATGTGGGGTTTAACGTCCCAAAACCACCATATGATTATGAGAGACGCCGTAGTGGAGGGCTTTGGAAATTTCGACCACCTGGGGTTCTTTAACGTGCACCCAAATCTGAGCACACGGGCCTACAGCATTTCCGCCTCCATCGGAAATGCAACCGCCGCAGCCGGGATTCGATCCCTCGACCGGCGGATCAGCAGCCGAGTACCTTAGCCACTAGACCACCGCGGTGACGCGCAGTCTAACAATCGTCGAACATGATAGTACATCCAGCAAAGTGATCTTCTGCAGTATTACACAGCGTAATGATGTTAAATAAACGCCAGTTGTCTACTCAGGAGGCCTGCTCGAATGTGCATACTAAGTTACAAGTCATTTGATCAAACACGTGGTGCGTGACGTGCTATTGAAGTGTGTCTCCATTTGTGCACACCGTGACTGAAAGGGGTAATGTTCCTATGTGTGCGAATATGAAACTATGTGCTATCCGTGCAAATTTCGCAATGAGTGCTTCACCTGGGTCACAGAAGACAGTAAGAACAGGCTGCCAATCGCTGGAAGCAGTTTGTCGGTGACGATGACAACGTTCCTCAGGCTTTCCTGTGGAGCGAAATAAAGGAAAAATTCGCCAGACTAAGTTTCAAGGCGTGATCGCAGAGTGTACAACGTGGCCTGCAAAAAGTATGAAGCAGGCGCGAATGTCAGTGGGCAAATCAATGACACAGATTAACAATACTGCTGCTGATAAAACGCTACCTTGGCGCTCTCCATGGTTAAACCGTAATTATTTTGAAGTCGGGGAGGTTTATTTGCTCAAATTCTGCACTTGTACCACTAGATATGTCCCTGTAATCAACTATAGGGAAAATGTATGCAGTTTCAGTCAGCGTGAAGGCTCTTCACCTGCCTTCAGAGACGCTCACGTTTACGGGCAAACACGTGCAGGAGTTCCTAAATGTGCAGCCTGCGTGTCATTAATTGCGAGAAGGGAAGCATTTATCTGTGATACAGTGGCGCTTTCTTCCCACCTCCTTGCTTGCCTTCTACAAGCTCCTGTACCAACCTGCCCAGTTTCCCGCTGTGTTGCATCCTTTGCCCTCCCTTTCCATCATTTCCAACCTCCTCAACCTCACATATGCTCCCCTTCCCTTTCTCATTCCCTTGCACTATACTGTGCTATGCACAGCTATGATTTACCCTTCTTTTCCTTATATGTCTTCTCACCCTCAAATGGTTTTGTTAACATGGCTGTGCCCCAGATGGTGTTGCCTGAGTGGTGCCATCCACGGCTATGCTATCCTTTACCCCATTTTCTCTTTTATTACATCCTCAACCTGCCTGTTCTTTCCCGCACCTTCGATATACCTATAGCTATACAATGCCATGCAATAAATAATTTCCCCCCTCCTGATGCCATACCATGGCTATGCTTTGCTTTCCCTTATTGGCTATGCTGTGCTTTTGAAGTTGGAATTGTTCGTGTCTAAGAATGTCGTAATAAGGAAGATATTAAAGTTTTTACTTTCTGGTGCCAAATAACGCTTAGAATTTAGGACTCGGAACCTAAAAGGAGGTGACACGTGCACTAAGTTGAAGAGGCTAAAACAGGAGGCCCCTAAGTGAAGTTCCCTTCATGAGCGCTTTGCTCATATGCAACGCATTCCGTACTCAAAAGACGTGAACTGCGAAAGTTTCAAAAGCAGCTTACCTCGCAGTCATCTTTTTCAGGGGCAACGTCAGTGTGAATCTGAAAAGTGCAAAAGACCAAAATCACGTTGAGCAACACTATAGTAAGTATATCATAGGCAAGGATTTCGTCCAGGCCAAAAAGAGCATTCGCCCTGCCTAAAGCTATATCCTAACCATATACATCGGTCTCACTTTTTATCCAGGACAACAATAAAACGAAGAATGGCCGGTCCGCGGCTTATTTCACGGTTCGTTTATGCTGTTTCGGTTGGTGTGTGCGACACTTTGTATGCCGCGAAAGGTCGTTCTGTGACACCTAGGTAAAAACCTAGCTGTCACAGAACCTAGCTAAAAAGAATTTTACCTAGTTAAAAAAAATTGGCTGGAATAGTTGGTACAGCATTTCTAAAAGTTAATTCAAGCGCGAACACACGACACGATCACTCACACACGCACACACCCAGGATCAAACACACACAGCGCTACAACAACAACGCAAACTACAACGCAAACACAAGAAGCTAATGCTGCCACAAAGTAACTTTAAAATGTACTTTTATTTGGACTCTATACAACCGTGTTTCAGCTAAATAGGATTCGCAATCACGGAGTGAAGGCAATTTTCACAGGCAGTGTCACTGGAGGCAACGCGCCGACAAGAGACAGCGAGTCTTCGTTAGTGCTGCAACTGGAAGCTTTCAGTACCACCCCTCCCTCTTCCATTCTTCCATTTCTTTGTGATCAAGCTCGCCCTTGTTCCCGTTCCTTTTTTTTTTTTGACGTTGGTGGAGAGCGAGAAATGCTTGCAAATAGATTGGTTTCTAAGGAAGACAATCACTACGCTTACGAATTAAAGTCCATTTGTGGGAAAAGTTGTCTGCAGGGACATTTCTTGTTGAATTATTTTCATAGCCTAAGCTACACTGGCGGGGTTACCATTTTCGCGTGGCTTATCGAGAGCCGTGCTGCGCATGCCTGAGGAGCAGTGACGTCACATAACGCACAGATGGCACACCAGAGAAGGCCTTGAAGCTCATGGAGTAGCTGACACTTGACTCGCGTGAGCTCGCTAGTGTTGTGATCAGCCTCCCTGGCATGGCACCACTTAGACGTGAGATGGTTGCTGGACAGCGCTCCCAGAGGTGAACCAAAAGCGACAAAGACACGCCAACCGTACTTGGAATTTTGTGGCGCAGACTTCTCCCCTCGTAGAAGCCTTTGAACTTACCCACCCGACTGATAGTCTATGCAGGGCTTTTTACAATCAAAGCGGCTTAAAAAGGGTGGTTATCTTTGTACGTCTTTGCTAGTCGGAGGGCCGCGAACAATGGGCCAAGAGACTGAGATCCATGTTCGAGTGCGTTCTCAAGTTCTTTGTGCTGCCGCCATGCCACCTTTTATACAAACCACGGCTTGCCTGGCGCCGTTGACTCCTCACTGCAACGGATTACGGACTTGATTTCTACATAGAACCCAACATATTCGCGCTGTGCTGTGTCGTGCGTCTGGTGCAGTGTTTGTGCAGTGTTTTTCTCTCACTATGGTACGAACTGGGCGTGCTTCTCCCCTCTTTCCCTGGGTTGGGAAGGAGGTGGTGTTACACTCTCCCATTTCGAGGGCGGAGGTGAAGAGGACAATTTGATTGGACCATCCTGGGTTTCATTGTTTCCCCTGCAAGGGATCCTGGGAAGACATGTACTTGAAAAACACGAGCACAGAGACGCTCGAGGCATGCTACCAAAAATGTTGTAGTATCACGCTGTCTTGAACCTGTATATAATGTAAATAAACGCTCCTGTTAACCGCACCGGCTCTCACCTCGACATCTCACCTAGACTTTGGCTGGCTCCTGTCTTATGGGGCAGACCCCCGAACACATCACTAGTCTGTCCGCCGGTCCGTAGCCCACGCTACATATAATCTGGCGTTGCCGAGCTGAGCCACTGCTAATGTATTTCATCAGTTCAGGCAAGTGGCTTGACCTGAACTACCTCTTAGTGCGTACTACTTTAGGCACCCGGGTCGCCTTGTCCTCCATCCACTCTCCCATGTCGCATGGTCAAGCAACGGTCACTACAAGGCTCAAACGAACCCAAAAATGCACTAAACTAGAGCAGAATGAACTAACAAAGTCTGAGATAACATGAAGAACAGGAAAATAAAAACAAGCATCAATCGTAATAGCTTACCTGTAATCGCGAAAAACGCTTCTGAAGCTGATACGCCACGCAAGCATCCATCACCGCCTCAGCTATAGCGTGCGATAGCCGAGATGCAATAAATGAGCATTAATAACTGCACCGAGACCTACGCAGAAATGACTTAGGTGCGGGATTTCGAACAATGCCACGGCCAAGACATTAGTGCCAGACGTTTTGTTTGAATTTTAGCATGTCATAGAATTTGCATTCGTTGTTGATGTATACTTATGGTCACCATCGGCATTCATAATCTGCCATGTGTAGTGACTGTACAGTGCGCTCCAAATGCACACTGAGTATATTAATTTCACATACCCACGTCATGAGCATGAAGCTTGCTGCAGCAATTCCGACTTCAGCCAGGATTAGGACTGCGAAAATGACGTCCAACTGAAGAAAGAAGATGAAATGTTTGACGAAGATAAGCATCGATGATGTAAAAAGTAAGTGAGCTCGAAATTTATCAGCACGGCCCCTACACGACCAATCATGGCATCTGTAAGCATAGCTGTAGTTAACAGATGTCAGCATCGTTATCTGACGCCTCGCGTCCATGCTAAGGCGAAGGCGTGTCAGCGTCAAAAGTGCCGCATTAGAATAGATCAATATCAACATACTGGTTGAGGCAATTCTCAAGGGCTAGGTTTCCTATCCAATCGTAATGGATTTCTGTTATTTCTCCTACTGTTGGGTTACTAAGATAAATAGAGCTGAAAGTTAGTTAATACAGAAAAACAAGGTTCGTGTAACATCGGGAGTGCAAATGCCACTTCTTACAAAAAAAGAAATGGCTTCACTTCTAGGATATATCCATCAGGCTCATTCCATCAATACGTGAAAAATGGTTGCATATTGAGATGGCAACATTTCATCCTGCTTCAGTGTGGGAGATTAACTGCATTTAGACCATCTAAATGTGGGTATTTTCCACTGTACGCTCTCATGACTACTATTGCAGTTCACGTGTTTATTAAAGTCAGGGTTTTTGCGTCCCGAATCCACAATATTATTTTGAGAGACGCTGTAGTGGTGAAATCAGGAAATATCGACCATTGTGTCTCAACACGAACTGATATCGCACTGTATAGCAACTGTACATGGACCTCTATACCAATTAGTCTCCATCGAAAGGCAACCACTGCGGTCAGCATCAAACCCGTGACCTACGGCTCATCAGCCGAGCCCATAAGCACAGCTCCTCCATGGCGCACAACATTGCATGCATACATGCGTTTATCCTATGCACGAAAAGCTTTGTAATGTACAAAACAAGCAGAAAATTACAAATAACCTCACTATACATGAATAGGTTATCAATGAAAGCTCGAAAAAGATTTTTTCTTCACAGTCGATGTATTATACATGCTCCGAGACCCACCAAAAGATTCCTGCACGTAACCTTCCCTTTGGCCTACCTACGGGATCGGAGGCACCTCACCTGATGCTTCAATGCCTCCGTGATTTACCCACTGTCGACCCACTGATGCCGTCATTTCATGACGACACGTGTTGTAACCTCACTGACGACATTGAGATGCCACCTCATCACAAATTTTCTCGATCTGTGAAACCATGATGACGCCATGTGGAGACGTCACCCCGTTATGATTTTTTTTTGCATCACTCGTGTTGATGTCACTGGTCAGCTGTCGATGTTCGCATTTTATGATGTACCTAAGGCGCTCGCATCAACATAATTCTCGTTAGGGATGCTCGCATGTCTGCCGAGTGGGGCTTTAGCACAAGACTATACTACCATGGAACTTTCTAGAAACAGCTACCGCCATGTGAGTGCTCCTGTCCAGCAGCGAAATCGTGACACCAACAACGGCGACCAGGGCGCAGCTAAAACCCAGCACCACGGCTATGACAGCCAGTCCAAGCAAGTATCGCTGGTGTCCCTGGTCCATGGTCTGGTTCCATAAGATGGCGAGCACTTCGAGTCGATGCCGAAGGCAGAAACCAAGTGAGGCCACCAACAAACTGCTTCCCTGCGCTCACAAAAAACAGATAATTTGAAAAAATGACGCAGTCATTTGCATTCACTTCTATGTGTGCTCATGAACAGCTCTGGGCCTGAACAGTGACTTCCTTTTGCTACAAAGAACAAACAAAGAAAGCAGAAAACCCTAAGAAATAATACGGATGTAGCGAAAACAGAATAAAAGAGCCACATTTAAATATTATGTTCCTGCAATATTTGTTGAAAAATACATATTTTGTAGTAATTCTGTGGCAGTCTTCGCACACACAATCTGCATCAAGGGGGGAATTTTTTATCAAAGCCAAAGTGGCAATAAAGTGAATAATTACCAAAACTTGTTCGTTTCACTTACTGACTTCTCAAGGTCTTAGTTTATAAAACAAAGCTGTAAGCGGTCGCAATCTATACCATGCCCATTTACTTATGCATGACGATAGTCACTCGTAACTTAAGAGATATTCACCACCAACTTTTAAGGACACTACCGAAATTAATGGCACAGTGCTCGAAAGGCGGGCGTTTTGTTACGTCAACCCACAACTTCCAGTGACAAAAAAAACGATGAAATTTGAGCGAGGTGCGTTGTGGCATCGTCTTGTCAAGGAAAGTGGGCAGTCGTCTCTCTTGCACCAGTGCCTTTGCGTGTAGTGTTTGGTGTTTACATCAGCCTCTCATACGAGCTGTGTGCAAGCGAGCCCTACAACATTGGCACAACGCCTGTCTTATCTCCAGCAAAATATTCACGAGGCCACCACTCCTTTCCTTCTTTCAGAAACCAGCACCAGTCTCTAGATTGAGACAGATGGGCACATCACATGACAAGCAAATAAGCTGTCATTGTGTATTTCAGAAAACGTGTCATTTTCTTGTCTAGATCTCGCTTTAACATGCCTGAATGTGATTGAATGATATGCAAGGTTTAACGTCCCAAAACTACCATATGATTATGAGAGACGCTGTAGGGGAGAGCTCCTGAAATTTAGACCACCTGGGGTTTTTTAACGTGCACACAAATCTGAGGACACGGGCCTACAACATTTACGCTTCCATCGGAAATGCAGCCGCCGCAGCCGGGATTGGATCCCATGACCTGCGCCCCCCACCTCTCTCTCTGTGTGTGTGTGTGCATGTGCGCGTGTGCGTGTGTGAATGCGCTCACATACAAACGCACGCATGAACATGCGTAGAAGGGTTTTTACAACCTGTGAAAATGTTTGTTGTAAAAAATGGTATGACTATTTTTGCCTTGAAGTGGCCCTTACTAAGTCGTGCCAGCAAAAAAATGAGTGATAGCTTCAAGGCTACGGCTACGTGTCTTTTTGATGTATTCTACCTTCGTGTTGGGATGGGCACTGTCGCTGAACGTTATGCAAAGTCCGTTATGCAAAGTTCGAGCCTGGTTGCAGAAAGCGTTAGGAAGAAACTGTACGTTCATTGCGTATCTCAAAGTAGAAGGTAGATATGGCGTTAATGCTTTTGATGATGATATATGGTGTTTTCTTGGCGCAAGGGCCATTTGATGGCCAAAGAGCGCCAGTTCATGAGACAGGAATGTGGACAATGGTTGTGATTAGCGGCTGTATAAGGGCCATAAAATTCCTCGCAGTAAAGCGGGTAAAAACATACAAGTAATAAAATCATGACCATGCCGTGAAAGGTGTGTGTGGTGTGAATAGGTGACAAAAGTTGGTGATAATGAAAAACGATGGTGGACATGTATGGCATTAGCACAAGTACCTCACACGTTAGTACCCTTGCGTGCAAGGATCGTGAGGCAAGTGCTTTCCTGTGTAGCCACCGCAGCAAAAACCTCTCTGGAGAGGTCGTGCTACGGAATGCCCGGGTATATGATATCAAAATTATGAATTTCCTTAAAAAACGCTAATAATGATTTGTGACTAAAAAGCGGTTCCCTACCGACGAACATTGCAGGGTGTAAAGGTATATGTTGTCGGTAGGATAGTGCGAAGTGTTGTCTTCTTAGAGTGTCTAAATGTTTACATTGAATTAAAACGTGAAGAACTGTTAATGCCTCACCACATTTATCACACAATGGTGGATCAGCACCGGACAAAAGATGTGTGTGTGTCGTGTATATGTGTCCTATCCTGAGTCTTGTTAGTGTTACCTCTGTTAGACGTGATTTTGATACTGGTGGCCAATGGCCAAGGTGTGGCTTGATAACGTGTAGTTTGTTTTGTGTGTGTGTATCCCACTTGCTCTGCCAGTAGTCCCTGAGTTTTCGTTTGAGAGACGGCTTAAGATCAAGGGCCGGGATTGATGTCGGTGTAATGGCGGTGCTTTCGTGGGCGGATGCAGCAAGCTGATCCGCCATCACGTTGCCTTGAATCTCACGGTGCCCTGGCACCCAGCACACAACAACATGTCTGTTGAGTGTGTAGAGGGTGCATAAAATGGAGTAAAGTGAAACGAGGACAGGGTTTTTTTGTTTTTTAAGACTGTGCAGAGCCGTTACCACACTGAGGGAGTCTGTATAAATTACTGCTTTTTGTATTTGTGATTGTTTGATGTGTTTAGCTGCCACAAGTATCGCGTAAGCTTCCGCTGTGAAGATACTTGTGCCTGGATGTAGAGGGCCAGCATCCGAAAAGGAAGGGCCAACAGCAGCGTAGGACACAGAGGAGTTAGACTTAGAGGCATCTGTAAAAAACTCAGGACGTGTGTATTTGTGTTGAAGTTCCAAGAAGTATGTTCGAATATGGGCAATAGGCGCATGTTTAGTAACTTCTAAAAAAGACACATCGCAATCTATAGTCTGCCACTGCCACGGTGGCGGGTATGCTACAGGAGCCATTAAACTGTGTTCGAGTGACACTCCAGTGTCCTCAGCTAGACCCTTCAGGCGAACTGAGAAGGGCTGCCTCATTGAAGGCCTGTTTTGAAAAAGAATGGAGCTCGACAAGTCATTAATAGTAGAGTATGAGGGGTGCCTCTTGTCTGCTTTCACCTTAAGGAAATATACAAAGGACATGTAGGTTCTTTGCAGATGAAGCGACCACTCATTTGACTCAACGTAAAGGCTTTCTACGGGGCTGGTGCGAAAAGCACCCGTAGAAAGGCGGATGCCCGAATGGTGCACGGGATCCAGCATCTTCAAAGCACTTTGAGTCGCTGACTGATAAACAATGGCCCCATAATCTAAGCGGGTGCGAATAAGGCTTCTATACAGGTTCATGAGGCATTTCCTGTCACTACCCCACGTAGTACGTGACAACACTTTTATAACATTCATGGCTTTTAAACATTTTGTTTTTAAATACTTTATGTGGGGTACGAAGGTAAACTTGTTGTCCAAGATTAAGCCTAAGAATTTATGCTCGGCTTTGACGGACAGTTGTTGCCCGTTCAGTTGAATGTTGGGTTCCGAGTGCATGCCTCTCTTTCGAGAGAACAAGACACACGTGCTTTTTTGTGGGTTAAGTCGAAATCCGTTTTCATCTGCCCATTTGGAGATCTTATTTAAACCCAGCTGAACCTACCGCTCACACATGGCCAAGTTGCATGACTTGAAGCCAAGCTGAACGTCGTCGACATATGTACAATAGAACATATTGCGGGGAATGGACAAGTGCAAAGAATTCATTTTAATAATAAAAAGTGTGCAACTAAGCACGCCACCTTGTGGCACGCCTGTTTCCTGGACAAATGTTTGGGAGAGCACACTGCCCAGACGGACACGGAATGTCCGGTTTGACAGGTAACTTTCGATTATATGAAACATTCTTCCGCGCACACCAAGGTGGGACAGGTCTCTTAGAATTCCGTAACGCCATGTAGTATCATAAGCCTTTTCGATATCGAGGAACACAGAGAGAAAATATTGTTTATGGACGAACGCGTCTCTGATCTGTGCCTCGATACGAACAAGGTGGTCTGTGGTGGATCTACTTTCTCGAAACCCGCACTGAAATGGGTCGAGCAAATTATTTGTTTCAAGAAAATGTACAAGTCGGCAGTTTATCATTTTTTCGAAGACTTTGCACAAGCAGCTTGTAAGTGCTATAGGCCTATAACTCGAGGGTAAAGAAGGGTCCTTGCCCTCTTTCAAAATGGGAATAACAATAGCCTCTTTCCAGGAGGTAGGAATAGTGCCAGAAGACCAAATAGCATTGTACAAACAAAGTAAGGTTTTTCGGGTTTCGTTTGGTAGGTTTTTTTAACATTTCATACATCACACAGTCAGAACCTGGGGCAGAAGTACTGCAGGAGTTTAGAGATGTTCGGAGCTCCGCTAGACTGAAAGCTTGGTTATATGTCTCGTATCTAGTGGATTTGTGTTCGAGTTTCTGCTTTTCTAATCTTGTTCTGTATTTTTGGAAAGTGTCAGTATAGTGGGACGAGCTGGATACCCGTTCAAAATGTGCCCCGAGGAAGTTTGCCTGATCTTCCAAGGTATCACCTTGAGTGTTTACGAGTGGAAGTGTGTGTACTTGTTTCCCTGCTATCCTACCGACCATGTTCCAGACTTTGGCCTCTTGTGTGTAAGAATTGATCCCTGACAAAAACTTCTGCCAGCTTTCTCTTCTGGCCTGCCGACGCGTTCTCCTAGCTTGAGACTTTATTTTCTTGAAGGTGTCAAGATTTTCGGCTGTCGGTGAGTTCCGAAGCAGCCTCCAAGCTCTGTTTTGCTGTTTGCGCGCGTTTCGGCATTCAGAGTTCCACCATGGCACACGCCGTTTTCCAGGGTGTCCATTTGTTTGTGGGATGCATTTTGTTGTGGCATCAATTAAAAACGCTGTGAAAGAGTTGACAGCAACATCAATGTTCAAAGTACATATGTCATTCCAACCTAGACGAGCGATGGTATAAAACTGTTCCCAGTCGGCTCTGTTTATGAGCCACTTGGGAACACGTGGTGGAGACTCAGTTACTGTATTTGTGCTCAAAACTACGGGGAAGTGGTCACTTCCATACAGATTACTGACGACTTTCCACTGGAATAGAGACACAAGAGATGGAGATACTATGCTTAGGTCTATGGAGGAATAGGTGTTATTGGCGAGATTATAATAGGTTGGTTCTTTTCGATTTAGGAGACACGCGCTCGACGAGAGAAGAAACTGTTCGATCAGTCGACCTCGCGCGTCATACCGAGAGTCACCCCATAGCCTGCTATGCGCATTAAAGTCTCCAAGGAGAACATAAGGTTCCGGAAGTTGATCAATTAAGGAGTGTAAATCACGTTTTCGCAGCTGATAGCTAGGAGGAATGTAAATAGTGCAGATTGTGATCAGTTTATCAAAAAGAAGCGCTCGAACAGCCACTGCCTCAAGGGATGTTTGTGTTTGTAAGTGTGTGCATGCAGTTCCTTGTTTCACTATGATGGCAACACCTCCGGATGATGTCATGGCATCATCACGGTCCTTTCGAAAAATAACGTGTTTACGAAGAAAATTTGTGTGTTTTGAATTAAGGTGTGTTTCTTGTACACACAGCACTTTTGGTGAGTGTTCCTGTAAGAGTTCTTGGATGTCGTCAAGGTTTCTGAGAAGGCCCCTGACGTTCCATTGTATAATTTGAGTGTTCATGGTGAATGTAGAATAATGCTGTGTGTACGAAAAGCGAGTGGCTGTTTAGACGGGGGAGTTTGAGTTCACTTAACAGGGCCACCACCAGGCCCTGTTATTTGCTTTTTTGTTTTCTTGGCGCGCTCCAAGGAGCCACGCCGCTCTTTCGGCACCAAGGGTACCGACGTATCCATTGCCTCCTCGGAGGCACTGGATGCCCGCACGTGCGGGCTGTTAGTTCGGATTACGGGCCTCGCCTGGTGAGGGGAGGCCTTGAGACCCGAGGACTCTGGAGTCTCCGGTCTCTGTTTGGGAGTAGGCGGTGTAGCCTGGGCTACAGCCGCCTTGGGGGCAGGTGCCACAACCACCGGCTCGGTATGCGCGGGCCGAAGGAGTGGCGAGGGCTGGTGCGGCGGTGCCCCCTGACGCGCCGCATCAGCATATGTTGCGCCGTAAAATGGCGACACTCTTCGTCTTGCTTCTTTGAATGTGATGTTTTCTTTGACTTTAAGAGTGATTATTTCTTTTTCTTTCTTCCAGTCAGGACATGAACGCGAATACGCGGCGTGTTGCCCGTCACAATTCACGCAGTGAGGCGTAGTAACACAGTTATCAGATGGGTGGCCGTGGCTACCACATCTTGCACAAGTTTCCTTACCCCGGCAGTTCTGCGAGCCATGACCAAATCGTTGACATTTGAAACACCGTCTTGGATTGGGAATGTAGGGACGGACAGATAGTTTGATGTAGCCTTTGTCTACAGATGAAGGCAGTGTGCTAGATGCGAAGGTGAGTATTAAATGTTTGGTAGGTATTTCTTTGTTTTCTCGTCTCAGAACGATTCGTTTCACATCTGTGACATTTTGCTCTTTCCACCCTTCAAGCAGTTCCTGTTCAGACATTTCAAGAAGGTCTGCTTCTGAAACAACTCCGCGTGAGGTGTTCATTGATCTATGAGGTGAAACAGATACTGGGATATTACCAAATGCTACGAGACTGCCAATTTTTTCATAGTGGTGTTTTTCAGGCAGCTCAAGGAGAAGGTCTCCGCTAGCCATTTTTGTAACCTTGTATCCTGGGCCAAAGACCTCAGTCAGAGATTTAGCAACAAGAAATGGAGATATGGCTCTGGCTTGTTTTGTTGGGTTTTCGCTGTGCACAACATGGAATTTGGGAAAACATTGTCTGGGTTGGCTGAAAATTGAGATGTCATCGGTGCGTCCCCTCTTAGGTGGAGGACGATCTAGTAGACGGGGAAATGCAGGTGTTCCCATAGTAGTGTACTTTTTTTTCGGCAGCAATGGCGACCACCCACCATGGAGTCCAACCAGGGGACGCTGAAGCACTTAATAGCATAAGGCTGCAGACGCCAGCCGTACATTGCCACTATAACCAAATATAACTACTCAAGGTTGAGTAATTACACAAGGTTAACCCTTGCCGCCAGGAAAAATCGGAAGTAAATGGAAGAGAGAAGAAGACAGGATAGATTTAAAGACGAGAAAAGACTAAGATGTAGGAAGAGAGAGATAGGAAAAGGCGACTGCCGATTTCCCCTGGGTGGGTCAGCCCAGGGGTGCCTTCTACGTGAAGCCGGGGCCAAAGGGGTGTGTTGCCTCTTCCGGGGGGCCTTAAAGGTCCAATCACCCAGCGTCGGCTCAACCCCCAGGATCCCCTTTTCCCCGGACACGGCAAAGCCACGCATGGCTAGGCGTGGGAGGGAGTAGAAACTCCCCCGTTAGCTCGGGTCCGTGGTGTCGCTACACACCAAACGCCTACTTGCGCAGGTGCTCCTGCGGGGCGTTAATGCTTTTACAGCTGCCAATAGGCTAGGTAAGGTTTCTGCCGCTTCGCACAGAAAAAATGAGCCAGTGAAAAACAAGAAGTGGACCGAGATTTGTTTCGAAAAACACGCCAACAAATTCACTGATTGCCATGCAGGTGCGGTGCGGGATATAAGGTTCCTTTCAGCTGCGGCCTCCTGTATGCAGAACAGCCGGGCTGCCAAATTAATCAGATTATGAGAACATAAGAAAGCTAACGGGAGGCTCACTTATTATTTCTGTACATTGACGATACCGCAAGCACAAGCTAAAATTTGATGAATGCGCAGTTTTGTGTTGGCATAGAATGAAAAAAAAAACGCGTGCTATGATTGAGGCTCGGCATATTGATAATATGGGTAACGCATGCGTGGAGCAACCATCAATTAACTTACAGAAAGATGAAATCAAATGTCTGAACAGTTATTTTTCACGTACACTCCCACTCGTGCCAGATTATTAAGTTCGCCACGTGCACATGTGCATGCGCCGATAAGTTTTTGTGCTTCTTTTTTTCGTCGTTGTGCGCCTTCTCGTTGTCTGTTCGCATTCGGGGTGTCTTCACTTCTTGTTTCCGTGTTCGCACGTGCTCTCCTTTACAATGAACACTGACCAACTAGCTCAACACTCTCTTATTCTAAGCCTGCATTCACTTTGTCACTAAAGTAACTTCGGCAAACGGTCAGCAGTTCTACTTCACCACCTTGAACTTTTTTTTAGACTCACAAATTGAAATGTGGTCATGAAGTTCACAAAGACCTATGCTTTTATCTATTTATTATATAATTCAAGCAGGTATGGCAATAAAAAAGGTATAGCAGCGAACACGTTTTGGGAAAAGTCAAAAATAGTAACTAAAACATAAACAATATTAAAGAAAGTCGGTATGTTTTGCACAACGCTACAAAACAAGTTAATAAAATTAGGTAAAACGAATGCAAGAGTAAACAAAAGCACAACAGAGTTCGAAGCCACAAGCAGGAAGAATAGTGAAATCGGTGTACTAATCATTCTCATGGTGGCAAATCGATCGCAAAACCAGAGTTTTCTCTAATAATGGGGAACTCTGTTGCCCAGGCAACTCATTCTATTCATGCACCTTTTTTGTTGTTGCTGCTGCTGTTCTCGCTTGGACCTTAACTCATGCCGCTAGGCATTCGTTTTGTCTGTCGAAACCGAGTATAGTGATCAGTAAGGTATCAGTAAGAAATAATTATTTGTAACCGCTACATGGTGTTGTGAAGAACAAACACTGTTATAAGAAAAATAGAGGTACCCATATGTCTGTATTTTGGAGGCAAGAACAGAGCAAGGCAACTAGTGCTCGACGAGGTGCAAGTCGTGCATCGCATGTAAGTCTTTCAAAATATGGTGGCATGTTTGTGTGCAATTTCTCGTTGGCACGTTCGTGCAACAGCAGCAGCAGCGAGGCACAGATTACATCCGCAGGCTGAAAATGCAATTCATGCAAACATTGTTCTGCCTCACAATATTTACGATTGGCTGTAAACATCGCCCGCACATAAAAATGCGCTTGCTGTGAAACACTTGTTCGAGTACAACACGTAGCTCCATAGATGCCGTCACCTGCAAAAACGTCAGAACCAGGCGGTTCATTAGCTTCCACACAAGTTTGATGCCTCACAGTCCTCAGCGTATAGATGGCACTCTATCTTTTTAAAAGAACTTATCCCAGAAATTCGATATCTGAAAGGTGCTTTGAAGTAAATGGTTTAGGAGCTGAAAAAATCGCTGCTTTTTTACAGTGCTGCAAGTGCACGTTTCAGGGCTCGCTCTACAACGTGATGCAATGGTGTTTGGGTGCATCACAATCACCTATAGGAACGCCTTCATCAACCGAAGTGTGATGAATTAGACGCCTGGACTCTTGTGCATGCCAACGCGCTTACACGGTGTTCCTCAGCAGTGCTGGTGAGACGGATGGTCCTATAGCAGCAATGCTCAGAAGTCGCCAAATACCTGCCCAAGTTTACAACGGACTGCGCGCATGGAAGCAGCTAAGCGACACTTACCAGGCATGTGGCGTAGGCAGACAGCTTGATAGCATGTCCTCGCTTCGATATGCATTGGTTGTACGTTTTTGTGGTGGACGGCATGGCTCTTCCGTGTGCACCGCCCGCTGAGCGACCGATTCTTCTTGGGGCCCAAGGGCCCTCTGGGATTGATTTGCGGCATGATAAATTCCACGTGTATGCACCATTCTTTCCAAAGAACCGAGCAGCTATGTTTACCGTTTCCTTCCACTATCTATTTACTGCCTGCGACTATGTAGATAAGCTTGCGACTGTGAAATGATGCTATATCGCACCTATAGCTTTGACACGTGTGATTACTGACGTATGCAGAAGGTGAAAAGATTAATATAATGGGTGCGAAAAAAGTGACGTTTTACTGTTTTATGTCACACATAACTGGAAGGGATGAGGTACGCTTAAAAAACAGCAACAGAAAGTTTTTGAGCTGCACTTCCCAAATGACCATAATAGTGGTCTCTAACATGGATTAATCATAAGGTAGATTTGGTGTAAAATACCAGGCGTCGACAACCTCGCCGACTACCGAACTTCAGCGAGAGTCTTCACAGGCCGAAGTAGCAGCGCGTATTGACCGATATGTGGGGTTCAACGTCCAAGAATCACCATAAGATTATGATAGATTTCGTAGTGGAGGGCTCCGGAAATTTTGGCCGCCTGGGGTTCTTTAACCTGCACTGAAATCTGAGCACAAGGGCCTACAGCACTTTTGCCTCTAACGAAAATGCAGCCGCCGCAGCCGGGATTCTATACCACGACTTGCGGGTCGGCAGCCGCGAGACCTTAGCCACTAGGTGACCGACGCGGTGGTGCGTGGAGTCTGGTAGTTAGCCTCAATAGCTTTTCCTGCATTTCAGACATTCAGAACTTGCTAAATGTTCAAGTTCACTTTTTCTCCCCTTGTTGATTACAGTGCACTACAGCCCTTGGAACCATCCTAGTCCAGCAGTATTTCTTAAACAATAATAACTCAATTTTCTTGGTGGCTGTTTGAAATGAAAATGAAACTGTCATCTAGATTTACAGCTTACGTGCGAGCTTTCAGGCTACAACCAGATGGGCACGGATTACGGAACGGAAATCTGCCAGTGATCATTGATGCCATACATTTGTCACTATATAGTGTGTCCTGCTGTTTCGATGTTATGTGCTTGCTCGGTGCTGGTGCTCCTGTGGCATAAAAATTTGAATGTGTTCTAACATGGGGAGGTGTCGCGATGAGGACGAGCATCGAATTGGAGCATGTAATCCCTGTGATTCTTTATTGTATATACGTCGTAATCATTGAGCCGTCCAAGCACGTATACTCGTTCCCTAGCGTACTTTACGTTGTCGCTTTAACTTTTGATAATTTTATAATTTAACTTACCTTGATATGGTCTGTCACTACAGTGGAACAGTTGCATTCATTACGGCACCTTTTGAGTGTACTATGGGCGTCAAATGAAATGTGGGCAGCGAGGACGCTGCCAAAATATCAGCAAAGCTATATAACGCGCTCAGTCATACAGTCACCGCCACTGGCACGCATGGACGTGCAATTTGCAGCTCTGCGCCATTCCCTATACTGCATTTTTTTTTTCGTGTTTGTGAGTGTTTTTCTGATGTAGTGGTAATAGCTGCAGCCATAGGCATACCGAGCACTTTTGGTCGTTTCACTTTTATTATTTTCTTTAACTTCTCTTTTCTTTTAGTTTGTTTCGGTTATCATGAATAGAACAGAGGTTACAACATCGGGCTGTAGCGGAACCGTGCAGTGGTGCGGTGCTGCCAAACAAAATGGGTGCGCGTTAAATGGTGACGAGTGGACTGCACTCACTGTACCTTTGCCAATACTGGAACCATGCGCGGCGCTGTTCACGTTTTATTTGACGCCGAAAGTACCTATATAGTGCTTCCTGAAAAGGGCACATAATCATTTTGTTGCACACTACTCGGCTATACATTCTATAGCGCTTAGCGGGCACTATTCAATAAAGCTAAGACTAAATAATCCAACATGGGAGACAACAGGCATCGTTTACTATAGCGTATAATTTGCCTGCATTTCTTAAGTAGTCGGCAGTGATTACGTCACGCTCATGACTGCTTCATCTCTTGCTTCGTTGTACGAAACACCATTTCATTATAATGAGGCACTTCGTACGCTATATGTTTCAGCTATGCAGACAATTAAAGCATTTTTGTTTGTCATCGCCTGCCGTTTCGTAGTGACAGACAATGTGAACACCCGTAAAAATTTTGTCATGCGAGATATGTTAGGCAATACAAGCCTTAATTTCACAGTAATCAAAGTGTTTTCCAGCTCATGTTCTACTAAATTGGGTCTTATTGTTCACGATTTTTTTCTTGTGACGTTTCACATCCACGTGACGGCGCTCTACGACCCTGCCCGGAAAACTGTTTTTAAAAAGCAGAACATTGTCCGACAACCGACTGTTATGGAATTCGAACGTTTTGTCGGCGCCATAAATTTCGTCAACCCGACTTTGAACCAGCTCAAAATACTACATTGTCTCCCAGCGTCGCTTATATGTCCTTCCATTCAAAAGCTATTATCGCTTACAAATAACACCGTGTATTTGTTGCAATCCAGCCACCATCACTTTCTGCGATTCCACCGAAGGACTATGGCCGCATAAATTTAGCGTTGTACAAACTATCAGTACGTATGGCGTCAACTGGACCAATATGTACGTCCATAATAAATTGAGCCACTCGCTAGGTATGGCTTCCGGTACAGCCATCCCGGAACATTTCCTGTGTATTTCCGCAGTACAAACTGTCACCTGGCGGTCAATCCAGAAAAGCAGTTGACCGCCGAGCTGTCTGAAGTGTCAGCGGGGCAGGGCACGCCCAGATGCTTCTCAACGTCAAGGCTTCTCGCACTTCCTTGCTTATTCTGGCGATGTAAAAAAGATTGCTTCCGTGAGACACAAGACCAGTAATTACTGCCAACGAAGGTCATGCCAGCCGTCGCAAAAGCATTCACCGAGTGTATCATGAAGAGGTGCCGATACCTGAAGTTGTTTGCCTACATCATGTGCCTCGTAAGTTCCATTTATTCTATCTTGTGATCACAGGCGCTGAAGAAGTATATGTGTGTGTGGGGGGGGGGGGGGGTATGTGCGCTTTTTGATATTATATTACGTAATCCGTATCTGGATGACAAGGCTGGTAAACAAGCTGCCGTGTGGAATACCTGATGTGAGTAAAATAGACAGAGTAATAAAAAGCTCAGAAACTCGGAAAACAGCTCATTTAGCAGTGATGGACATGCGGTGATTCGTGTGATTCTGGTTTATTAGAAGGCGTCCGACACCTATGACAAGAAGGCGTCCGACACCTTAGCCCCGACGTGGTGGTCTAGTAGCTAAAGTACTCGGCTGCTGACCCGCAGGTCGCGGGATCGAATACCAGCTGCGGCGGCTGCATTTCCGATGGAGGCGGATATGTTGTAGGCCCGTGTGCTCAGATTTGGGTGCACGTTAAAGAGCCCCAGGTGGTCGAAATTTCCTGAGCTCTCCACTACGGCGTCTTTAATAATCATATGGTGGTTTGGGGACGTTAAATCCCACACATGAATCAATGTCAAGTCACGTCATGCTTATTCCTTCAACTCTGTGGGTGACCCATGCAGCATTACGGAGGCAGTCGAGATTTCTAGACGTGGCCAGTTCCGCGCGCAAAACTGATGCGGTGGTGCCTATATAATCGATGGTGTTCGAAATGCGATTGGTTGTGAAGGTGTGGAAACTTTAAAAACAAGAATTTTTCTTTGGGGAACACGTGGTTAATCGCACCAGAACTTCTTGACGTGGGCAGTGATCAGTGCTAACAACTGACAAGACTAAGTGCATACGGCTAATGCTTGTAAATACATGCCTGCCATCCACTTGAAATTGATATTTGGCTAATTATAGCAGTAGGCGTCTTCGAACGATAATCTTGGCATCACTATTGGCACAGTTGAGCGCAAGTCCACAACACGTGAAAGAAGGCACTCTGAGCACAGATCGAACCGTTTTATCATTTTGAGCGGCTCAGAGATTTCCCGCATTTCCTGTACGTTTCGGGCTCAATGCCCATCCACGCAGAAATGAGTAATTAGAGCCATGGTTCTTTGAAAGTGGCCTTTTAAACATCACTTGGGGTCCTCCATCACGAACATCAACCTGGTACGATGAGCTGTCCCGCCACAACGGTTGTCGTAACGTTTAAGCATATATTAAGGCCGACGAGTAAACATTTCGCGAGTAGCTGTAGTCACGATAGCGCTCACGCGAGCATGCTTCGTCAGACTGAATCTTCGTCTTTACCTTACGTCGGACATGTTTTACAAATGTGGCCGTTCGCAGGCAAATATTTTTGCGTGAACGAAAATATCACGAATGTGGGTGCCTTTTATCTGTTCTCCATTTGTATGAGCCGCCACGCTTTAAAGCATCGTGTTACTCTTTCCCAATTTTACTTTCTTGAACAAGGATAACATGTGACTAAGTTTTACTTTTATAATTGATCGCCTCTCTGTACGACTGTTTTACTGGTCATACGTCACTTAAGCCTGACTATTGACGACATCACGCGCATTCGCCGCTCAAAAATCAATGGTCCTTTTCGTTTTGCAGTACGAGGACGCAGATGTATCACCATGGCATGTCCGTTAAAGATGTGACCTATGCGACAGTGGACGCTGATGGTTGCTTAGATAGTGCGATAATCATTTACCTTGCTGGGCGATACAAGGCTTTTACGGAGATTCGTACCGGATGCATTCTAATTGCAACCGCACCTTTTTAAGCATCTTATCGCGTGAAACAATAACGACCACCATTGCAAAACATTAAAAAGAAGAAAACGAAGGGACTAATCCTTCTAGTTTGCATGCATTTCTTTCTTTCAGTTGGGAGTGCCAGCTTGTTCTCCTTTGGGTTTTCCGCTGGTATTTTATCCGTTCTCGCAATGTATCAACCTGCGTTGCTCAACGCCTTCTTAATGATAATTTATCTTAATACATTTCCTTAACGTCGGTAATTTCAAGTCGTAAACGGCGTGCTGTAATTTTTCTGGTGTAACAGGTTCTAATGATTTGACAAAAATGTCACAGTAACTTTGCGGCGAGTAATGACGCAAAAAAAATTGTGCTCAAATTTACTATCTCATCCGACAGCAGTTCAGCAACAAAGTTTATTAAAATTAATATTCTGTCTTTTATTGCGCAATTCACTCATTTTCATGCGTTACAAAATTTGGTTCGCAGGAGTAAACAAAGTCGCAACAGTTTTATTTATAGTTCTGAGAACTTGAGAAATCTGAGATATTTTAAGCAAAATAGGCACATCTTGCGCAATTCAGGCTGCATCCGTAGTGTTGCCTTGTAGTCAAATATTCGAAGAGCAATAGATACGTTTTTTCTTTGTACGTAATCTATCCTCACTAGCGATAAAAACTTTACACCTGTCTTTCGGCCCAGAAGGAACTTTTCGTTCGTGCGTATCGTGATTGTGCCGCTTGTCGAGTTTCCTGCAAATTTCAAGCCTTTATCTGCGACCACGATAGTTACGTGGTACGAATAGCTTTATAGCTGCCGTCTCATGCATGTCTTGGGGCCTCCAAATAATTTTAGCCACACCCTTGCTCTTCCTGAAGCTTTAGGCATTCGTGAACTTCCGTGACTATTGTGCAGTGCCAACGCTCCATGTGTTAGCGTATTTGTTGATATTCTTTTTATTTTGTACCTCTTTCACTGGTTCTCTCATCTTTCATTTCACTTGTCCTTCGGCGTCCGTTACCAAACTGTTGTCTAGTTAACCTCCCCTACTTTACCCCTTTTGTATTCCTTCCTTCCTTTTTCGCTAGGTAAATTACATTACAGACCATTCACGGGAGAGAAACTGGCCCCATGGCTTCGTGAGAGTTCGATACGCGAAGGAACAAAAACAGTGCTGCGTTTCATGAAACCAACTTGTTTACAGCTTCTCTTGTGATAAAGAAAACGGCGAAAAGAGTATGTGCATGCGTTTGACAGACTAATGTGAACGTCACTCAGCCTTTGCCTGTAGCAACTGGTTCTATGCATGCACCATGCCTGCTTTTTGTCATTTTCCCCTGTGTTGTTGTGTGTGTACAAGATGTCAGTTTGCATGCTTTCGGTCGTTCTATTGTGCTATTTCATTGTGCAGCATCTTTGAGATCTATAGAAATGATGAACCACAAGTAAGTATGTTATGAAGCATTCATAAATTCATTAGAATACATTAATCTTGTAGCATAATAACGGCCGGTTCACTGTGAATTTCGGTTGTTTGTTTCTTTACTCTATTATTATTCACGCCCGCACTCAAGATTGTGGTTAATGATATATATGCATATTAGCCATCTTTCAGTGACGATACGCGTCCCTGGCGGACAGACTGCCATAAAACCATGCCTGTGTACCTCTGTCGCACGTGAGTGCAGTGCAGCGGCGTGGTTGTCGCCGTGCTTGGCTATGCGTCTCTGACCAGGCTCAACGTGCTCAGCACGGATAGTCGGCGCTGGGGACTCCACGAACACCAGCGACACCTTGCGGCGCTCGCGGTCGCCACCGTGGTGCTTGGTTCCGCGTGTGCCTTGGCAGCCGTGCTTGGCTGCGTGGACGCGCTGCTGGCGAGAAGACCTCACCTGGTGGTAAGCGCGGCCTACTGAACTTGCTAGAGAAACATGGGATGCATCGATTGTTCACCTGTCATGGGAGTTATCATAGGGGGCGTATTTATTGATATTGTCACGGGGAACACGAAGCCACAAGGGAGGCAGAAGCGAATATATTTAAAATATTTTTGGCGAGCTTCTGGCGGCACTGCATAGCCGCCAGAATCTCACGCGGCACTCCAGCCTTCTCCTTCGTCTCTTCATCTTCCACTGCGCGGCTCAGGCACCACACCTCGTAACAATATAATCAATCCTAGTTCTGTAACAGGGTCACTGTAACGAATGACAAAAACCAACTTCAGCGCAGGCAGGACCTTTCTTCGGAGAAACATGAAGAAATCCAGCGACTTATAATCAATGCCTTAAGTTTCTGCAAATACATAGATAAGCTATAGCTCATTGTCGCTGGTATCCTGACGACAAATCAGTCAGATTATCAGTATTGTGGTTCGTGTCTAATTAAGGGCTTTTAGCGCTACCTACCTACCTACCTTTCCTTGCACTGCAGTGCTGTGCAAGGAAAGTGTGGTGCGTGCTGGTTGGAATGCCATATTGCTACAATTGAAGCCCCAAAAGCAGACTGCAGACAAAGGAAACGACGAGGACCAGCACTATGTCACTTCTCGTCGTCGTTTCATTTGTTAGCTGTCTACTTTTAGCGATTCATTCCTGACAATGTGCAAGGAAGACTACGATAGCTTGCTCGAGAACCAATGCCAGAAACGACGATGCCAATACGGCTTCGTTTGGTGTGACCTGGTGCTCATACTTTCATACCTTCTTCGTATTACAGACGCACGATGGTGAACGCTGTCACGACGCTTTATTTCCAGTCAGGGATTGCTATGAAATTTCATGGTTGTTTCCTCGTGTTTCAGTGGTGTGAGTGCATGCACCTGGGGAAGTGTATGCATTGACGCATGCGCAGTATTTACTCTTGAGATGACTGCTTTTCATCGCCTTGCAAACGTCGCGATAGTATTGTCGAAGCAGAATGTTTCAGAACTTTTCTTGATATCCATATGGAGTTTGCGATCAAAGGCTTTTTTCAATCACATTGAATAGTGGTGAACTAGCAGCAGAAGCATTGTATGCACTGCATGTGTGACGGCTCATATACGAATAGGTGCGCGTGAAGACAAGTAGGCCAGAGATTCAAGCCCCGTATTCTAACACAGGCCGGTGCTTGTAAATCATTTGCGAACAAAACCCATGCGAGCTTCATGTCAGGGAAAGAATCACGTTAACATGTTGGCATTTTGTTGAGGATCATTCAGGTCGCATCAAAGCACGGTTACTTATTGAGTAAGGTTTCGTCTGTGTCTGTTTGTATAGTTCTGTGCATGTCCACTTTCTCACATAATTATTATGCAACTATTTGGAGCGGCTGGAGTCACATATAGGCGCCAGCCTCTCATTAAATACATTTAGCTAAAAAACTAAAATGTTCCACATATTCGTTCGGCATTCCTTTATCCTGACAACGTTCTCAAAAAAACTAGTTGTGTTCTATCGTGATTCTATTCCGCAACATATTTCCTGATAGTAATATCGGCATCACTGGTAATGCATATATGCACGAAATCTACCATGCCAACTGTCAATAATGTGCACTCAAAAAATATATAAGTGCACGCTGTGTTTTAACCTGTATAGAGCGGTACTGTTGGCCTGCGATGCAACGTAATTTGTGCATTTTAACGTGATGCGAGACCTTGTATTCAAACAAAAAATGCTCTTCTGTTCTTTAGCTGGATGTCATTGCGGGCGTCCTAATTTTGGCTCAAGTTGGAGTTGCTTCCGCAGGATTCACTTTAATGATATGGGTGAGTGAAAAATGCTTATTTGGACAGGCCATATTTGGTGATATTTTTACGTACAGCCCACTAAAATTTGCGGAGCTCATCACAGAACAGGATGAATATGAAGTACATGTTCACTTGCTTACACTACGTTTTTTTTTTTCTTGTGAGCATTTTTATTGGCTAAAAAAATGCGAAGTCGACGGTCGCAGCACTTCTACTATCGTAGCCTCTTCGTTTGGTGTCGCAGATATAAAGTGAAAGAATGTTCACGTAATAATATCGCGGGATGAGAGGCCATATGAGATTACATTCTGGAACTTATTACGAAATCTATATACAACACTCGCAGTCACCTTTTAACGTTACTCATGTACAGTTGCATTGTTCAGCACACTACCTATGAGAAAGCACTGAACTCCCGCAATTTGTGGCTTTATTCAGTTAATGTCTCAGTCACGTCGTTATACAGGCTCAGTATATGTTGTTAGCGTGTTTCAAAAAGGGCCGTGAAACGGTGTCTGCCAAAGCAGCAGGAATATGTATGTGCCTTAATTCTTGATACATGTGGTCGCTAGACTTCTCACGCAGGCTGTACACATTTGGTCTCGGAAAATACGCAGTGCATTAGCGTCGTGCTTATTTCTCGATCGCGCATCACGTGATCGGTGAGTGACTTCAACCAAGGCGCGTTCCGATGACGTGCATGGTGCAAGTGATAAATGAAATGATCTTTTACACACTGTGCATGTGCCGAGCCTCGCGTTAGTGTATAGTTATACGCGTAGCTGGAAGTACCACGCGCCAGGCGTTCCCGTGTTCTTGCTAAGCGTGCTCACGACTGTACACATTATATTTTTAACGATTGCAGTTGACGTTGCAAAAAAATGAACGCTGCTGGATTATATATCTGCGTTCAATCCATCATCAACTAAATTGTTCAGCATATCAATAAACGGCCCAGGCGGAGTTTAAAAGAAGGTTACAAAATACAAGCTATCGCTTACAGCCGACGGATTTGTGTGAACTGAAAATTTACTGAAGTAGGTGAGGTCGAAGAAGCAGTGCACACGAAAGCTGAATGTGCGTTAAAAAGAGACACTAAGCATTTAAAAAAAAAAACAGGAGCTTATTATGTCATGATACATAATTTAGCGTGGCGAACTTGAAAATCAAGTCGAAAATTTGCATAAGCCAACGTAAATAACTTTATTTTGCCGAAAACAAGCGAGAGGCGCCGCGGCCGCTATCGCGAGTCTCGCCGCCACCTGTGATTTGTCGATACTCCATGACGTCACGCGCGGGACGGTAAGTACAGCTGACAGCGCTCGCCGGAAGGCGATGCCGGGTTTGTCTGTAGACATGGGATCGTAGCTGTTAGCACTGTTAGGATGGTGAGTTGTGGAAGTTGTAACGATTTCGTTGTACAGTGTAAATTTTAATGGAAGGGGCTGTTTGTAGCGCGTTCAAGCGGGAGCGATAGCAACCACAGCCTCTGTTCCAGTCATCCAGTGGCGAGCAAAACAACCGGTCGTTATGATATGGAACCGCGTCAAAATTGCCACCCCTCTCTCTTCGAGGTGATTACGCCCGTTCGCGTGTCAAACTTTCCGCTGCTCTCCCCTGTGGCGTCCTTGAAAGTCGTATCGTTATCCTGCAACGTAAAACCCCACATACTATTAGATTTATTAAATGAAAAAGAATTAAACAAGACGAATAGCCTGCTTGCCGCAAACAGGGACACCAGGGACCAAACCTACAAACTGCGAATTTGGCGTTAGCCGAAGAGCGAGACACAGATTGGAAAAAAAGGCGGGCATGTTAACATGAGGCACGTCCGGTTGACTAACATGCACTGGGGAAGATATAAAGGGGGAAAAGAGACAGAGGAGAGGGAAGAACGATACACATAACTTCGATCACACTTGGGGGAGCGCATGCAGCCTACAGGCGGTCGCTCAGATTAGTTGAGTTCAGGTACTGCAGTAGCGCTGTAGTCCGAAGGTTGTAGGTATTGTCCCCACTTGGCCAAGTTAATTTTTCATCACCTTTAACCCTTTCCATTTATGCAATAATTACTATACTACAGTTAAACAAGCAAGTATTGTCCCCTAATGTTTCCCTAGTTTCAGGCCCCGCCGCGGTGGTCTAGTGGCTAAGGCACTCGGCTGCTGACCCGCAGGTCGCGGGATCGAATCCAGGCTGTGGCGGCTGCACTTCCGGTGGAGGCGAAAATGTTGTATGACCGTGTGCTCAGATTTGGGTGCACGATAAAGAACCCCAGATGGTCGAAATTTCCGGAGCCCTCCACTATGGCGTCTCTCATAATCATATGGTGGCTTTGGGACAATAAACCCCACATATCTATCAATAAATCAATCCCTAGTTTCATTTTCTGATAGCTTTTTTTTATTGTGTTGAGCCTAAAAGAGGAAAAAATGAGCCCTCAGAAAACACGCCCTCTTCTGTATATAAGGTACTCGGTCACTTACGCGATTTCTTTCCGAATTCTTGCAGGTCAAGAACGACATTCCGCCAGGAAGGACCAACTGCAAAGTGAGCCTCTTTGTATGTTCTAGTCAAGTGATAAAACAGCATTAACCTTGATTTTCATGCCATGAGACCTTGTGGATTTGAAGCATACTTTGGAGCTCGTTTTGCTGTGGAGCGCAGACCATGGAGAGAGAGGGGGGGGGGGGTCATTAACAGCCCCACGAGTGCTTTGAAGACGCCGCTGCTACGTAGTCTCAGTTTCCCCTGAGGAAGGAACCGAGTCGGTTCCGAAACGTCGAGTTGCTTCACGAACTTCTTGGTTGGAGTTTAAATCATTTCACAAACGAAATTTGGCATTGAAGCAAAAAACGGTACCCTCAGAATTTTAACAGAAGTCAGTAGGATGACATTTGAAGTTCGCAAGACTCACCCAAGGGACAAAAAATTTTGCTCCCTCGGGAATATGTTAGAAATTTGTTGTTTCGATGCGCCAAACCAGAGAATTAAATTCGATCACATTTGAGAGGGTCGAGAAAACTACTGGGACGTTTGGCACGTAATGAACTTGCTGTCATTACCGACAAAATCGTCCCAAACGCGCCATGTAGCTCTGTCAGGTTTTCTGTTTGTCAGAAGTCAGACTACTACGTCGCACTTTTCGGCCAATCAACGTGGCTCACAAGAGGGATACACACATGGTTGCTGGCTTGCGCGGCACCCCGCGAGATGGCTGCAGCTGATTCTCGCCATCCATACAATATTTATGCATTATCACACGTAATATAACGCCTTGTCTCGTTTTCTAGAAATTGTGTCGCTCTTTTAACTATGTTTATTATTCATGACCGTCAACTTTTTTAGTGCTGCCATATAGTTCAAAGCTGTTGCTTTAGTGCAGTGCATGGTGTATCACTTTTCTTACACCATGGTGAAATGTAACCAAGCACGTGCTTAACTTAGTCCTGTCAACTAAGCAGTATGGACAGTATGTGGAAAATAGTGCTCATTTTTGTTGTAGTATTCCACATCATGCAGTCTGGCAAAAGCAACATTTCATAAAAAATCTGAAACAATATAAATAAGTGTGTTCGGGAAAGAGTGTGATATGAATGGAAAAGGTTGAGAGGTTCGTCATATTGTTACGGGTAACGTATTTAATAAGTTAAATACGATGCACTGTGCTCGGCGAACAAGATGGCGACAGTTCATCAACAACCAGCCACGAACGTCGTCTTTCTCTTTCTTCCAGACAGGCTGTGCCGGTGGTTGCGTATCATAACCCCCCGGCGGTAGAAGCACCGTCTCGGTGCTTGAGCAACTCGGATGCGGTAGAAGGAGGGTGATAGGGCTTGAGTCGGGCTATGTGCACGATGTCACTCGAAGGTGACGATGATGACGTTGAATCGGCTGGCACGATCTCGTATGTAACGTCAGTCACCTGGCGAACGACGCGGTATGGTCCAGTGTAGCGTGACAGCAGTTTTTCAGAAAGCCCTACACGCCGAGTGGGGGACCAGAGGAGGACAAGGGAACCCGGTGAAAAGTGCACGTTTCGATGATGGGAATCGTAGAGCTGTCTTTGGTGCTCCTGTGAAGCCTGCAGGCGGCTGCGGGCGAGTTGGCGTGCGTGGTCGGCTCGCGCGATGGCTTCGCCGGCATACTCCGTGACCGAGGGCAGCAAGGTGTCAAATGGTAGGGCGGGTTCTCGGCCGTATAGAAGATAGAATGGTGAATAGCCGGCAGTGTCGTGACGTGACGAATTATATGCGAACGTCACAAATGGCAAATGAACGTCCCAGTCCTGGTGGTCGGCCGCTACGTATTTGGAAAGCATGTCGGTTATGGTGCGGTTGAGGCGCTCCGTAAGACCGTTCGTTTGCGGATGGTACGAAGTGGCAAACTTGTGCTTGGCCGAGCAAGAGCGCAGGATTTCTTCAACGACAGCTGATAGGAAGGTGCGGCCCCGGTCAGTGAGAAGTTGGCGTGGAGCTCCGTGTACTAAAATAATATCATATACCAGAAAGTCCGCCACATCGGTTGCGCAACTCGTCGGAAGTGCTCGTGTGATAGCGTACCGTGTCGCATAGTCAGTGGCGACAGCGATCCATTTGTTGCCTGAGCTGGAGATCGGGAATGGGCCAAGCAGGTCGAGGCCAACTCGAAAAAAAGGTTCAAAGGGAATGTCGATCGGCTGAAGGAATCCAGCTGGTAGCGAAGATGGCTTTTTGCGGCGCTGGCAGGGTTCACAAGCGGCGACGTAGCGTCGAACAGAGCGGGCAAGACCAGGCCAAAAGAAACGACGACGTACACGGTCGTATGTGCGAGAGACGCCCAAGTGGCCCGCCAAAGGAGCGTCATGAAGTTGGTTGAGAACAGTCGCACGAAGATGTGCTGGTATGACGGGGAGCAAGTCATGGCCATATGGATCGAGGTTACGGCGATACAGGATGCCGTCTTTTACCAAGAACATTTGTAGAGATGCGTCGCGAGGCCTTGACTCAAGCTTGCTAATGATGGTTCGCAGTGAAGCATCCAGGCGTTGTTCGTGGCCAAGGTTGAGTAGCTGCGTCACAGACAGAAGGTCTGGAAAGGTGTCAGTATGGGCAGCCTCTTCCACAGGGTAGCGTGATAAGCAATCAGCATCTTGGTGTGACCGCCCTGTTTTGTACGTTACGGTGAACGTGTATTCTTGTAATCGTAGGGACCAACGAGCGAGGCGTCCTGTGGGATCCTTGAGTGAGGCCAGCCAGCATAGCGCGTGATGGTCGGTAACTACCCGGAATGGACGCCCGTATAAGTATGGGCGAAACTTGGCGACTGCCCACACGAGAGCGAGACACTCACGTTCCGTGATTGAATAGTTGCGCTCGGCTGTAGATAGCAGGCGGCTTGCATATGCTATAACACGGTCATGGCCGCGTTGATGTTGCATTAGCATTGCTCCGATGCCATGCCCACTAGCGTCAGTGCGAACCTCGGTTGGAGCTGATGGATCGAAATGGGCTAAAATCGGCGGTGTTGTAAGGAGCGTCGTGAGCTGGGAAAAAGATGAGGCTTGATCAGCGCCCCAGAAAAACGGGGTGTCCTTCTTCAGGAGGTGTGTGAGTGGGCGTGCAATGATGGCGAAGTCCTTAACAAACCGTCGAAAGTAGGAGCACAAGCCCACAAAACTGCGAACGTCCTTTGTTGACTTCGGAACAGGAAAGTCCGTGACGGCGCGAATTTTCTCGGGATCCGGGCGGACTCCTGCGGCATCGACGATGTGGCCAAGTACGGTTATTTGACGACGAGCAAAGTGGCATTTCGACGAGTTCAGTTGAAGTCCGGCTCGACGAAAAACTTCAAGAATCGCCGATAAACGCTTGAGATGGGAGTCGAATGTGGGCGAGAAAACGATAACGTCGTCTAGATAACATAAGCAGGTTGACCATTTAAACCCTTGGAGCAACGAGTCCATCATTCTTTCAAATGTGGCCGGCGCATTACAGAGACCAAAGGGCATAACTTTGAAGTGATAAAGTCCGTCAGGAGTGACGAATGCGGTCTTCTCACGGTCCATCTCATCCACAGCGATCTGCCAATAGCCAGATCGAAGGTCGATAGTGGAAAAATACGTAGCACCGTAAAGGCAGTCTAAGGCATCGTCGATTATTCTAGGCAACGGATAAACATCTTTCTTCGTAATTTTGTTGAGATGCCTATAATCTACACAAAAGCGCCATGTTCCATCCTTCTTTCTGATCAGGACGACAGGAGAAGCCCAGGGGCTACAAGAGGGTTCGATTATGTCTTTTGCAAGCATCTTTTCGACTTCCCGTTGTATGACGGTGCGCTCGGACGCGGAAACACGGTATGGACGTCGGTGAATGGGACTCGCGTCACCAGTATTGATGCGGTGAGTAACAACACTCGTTCGGCTTAAAGTTGTGCTGGCGAAGTCGAAAATGTCACTATAGGACTCTAGGACGTGACGAAGGGCTTCCGCTTGATCAGGAGCGAGGTCTGTAGGTACCATGTGGTCAACGTCGACGCCCGATAACCGTGATAGAGTTGGTTCATTGTCTGAGGTGCAGCAATCATCCACTCTGAAGGGTTCAACCGTATGGTCTTGTAGAGTAGTAATTTCAGCCAGGGAGATACCTTGTGGAAGAATTTGGGCTGTGAGGGAAAAATTGACAATAGGAAGGCATGTGCGGTTTTCAACGATTGTCAAAATGGTGTGCGGAACAGCGACGCCATGCGTAAGCATCACGGCATGAATTGGTGCCACCATGTATTCACCGTCAGGTACAGGTGGTGTAGAGAAGAGGTCGATATGTGTGACACAGTTAGGCGGAAGGCGTGCGAAATCAATGCAGCAAAGGTGACTTTGGGGTGGGTTGGTCAGATCAGAAAGTAGAGGCATTTCAAGGTCAAGACAGCCGGCTGAGCAATCTATAAGGGCCGAGTGAGCGGTGAGAAAATCCATGCCTAGAATTACTTCATGAGGACAGTTTTCTATAACGGTGAAAAGAACAGCAGTGCTTCTATCGGCGATAGTCACACGGGCGGAGCACATGCCGATAATCGCGGCAGTTCCCCCGTCGGCGACTCGAACGGCTCGGTTCAAGGCGGGTGTGAGAACTTTCTTTAGGCGGCGACGAAGAGCAGCACTCATTATGGACACATGCGCGCCAGTATCGATCAACGCGCGCACAGGTACATTGTCTAAAGTAACGTTCAACAGATTCCGGGTGGTCGGTAATGTCACACGAGGATTTCTTGCAGAGGTCGTCGTCAATGCAGCTTCACCTCCAGAAGCTGCACTGCCTAGTTTTCCGGTCGGGGGCGCTGCGAATAGGTCGGAGAGGCAGGACGGCGTTGTGGGGGCGAACGAGATTGACGGCGAGCAGGGGATGGCGAGCGGGCGTAGCGAGGTCTCGTCAGAGGTGCGGCAGGATCAGAGGATGTGGTCGGCATAGGGGAACCAAAATCAAATGTTGAGGACGCCTGGTGGTCAGAAGTGGCTTGGGTAGGAGGCCCATAGCGTGCCGGCGGAGCCCAGTGATTGCGGCAGTGGCGAGCAATATGACCAACACGTCGGCAGTTGAAGCATATGGGCTTGTCGTCCAGTGTACGCCATTCGGACAAATTGCGCTGTCGAGAGTAGTTGGAACCATATCGAGGAGCGGATGGACGACGATAAAAAGGCTCGGCAGAGTAGACTGGTTGAATGGGGTGTAGGCCGACATTCGATAATTCTTGACGAACGACGGCTTGTATCAGTGAGATTGTGGTCGGTGAAGGATCAGGCGTTGGAAATGGAGTAGCTACTGGTTGGGCTGCCTCGACCTCACGACGAATGATGCGGGTGAGGTTGTCACATCGGGGAACTTGGCGGACGGAGTCATCACACGAGGAAGTAGCAGCTGTGTTCGGCAGGCGCGTGATGCCGTGGGTGACGCGGCGGGCTTTAGCCTGTTCTAGACGGCGGCATTCTGTCAGGATCGTGTCGATGGTCGTGACATTATTAAAAACCAGCAGGTTGAAGGCATCGTCAGCAATGCCTTTGAGGACATGGTTAACTTTTTCGTCTTCTGACATGCGCTGATCGACCTTGCTACAAAGCGCCAAGACGTCAAGAATGTATGACACGTACGATTCAGTAGACGTCTGGGCGCGAGTGGCGAGAGTCTTCTTGGCAGCGAGCTGACGACCAGATGAATCGCCGAAAAGATCACGGATCTTCGATTTGAAAAGATCTCAACTTGTGATTTCGGCTTCGTTGGTTTCGAACCATGTCCGCGGCGTGCCGTCGAGGTAGAACACAACATTGGCCAGCATGAGCGTCGGATCCCAGCGGTGGGTAACACTGACTCGCTCGTACCGGTGCAGCCAGGAGTCAACGTCGATGGTGCCGTCAGCGGAGAAAGTTCCAGGATCCCGCAGGGGTGGCAGGGTGACGTAGGTTGTTGACTCGGATCGAGAGACCGGTGGGGATGAGGCACTGGCAGTTGAAGTAGCCGAAGAGTCCCCGGTGTTGCGACCGCTGCGCGTCTCCATCGAGGTACGGGAGTCGTCCACCTCCACCAATAATGTTACGGGTAACGTATTTAATAAGTTAAATACGATGCACTGTGCTCGGCGAACAAGATGCTGATGCTGATGCTGATGCTGATGGCCTTTTATGGATGGCGCTTACCCACAAAGGGGGATGGGCCAAGAACCGGGCGGCAGGATACTTAAATGAAACTAAACTGAAAATGAAGCCAATCTAAAAAAGTAGCTTAAAATAATACTACCAAAAAAACAAAAATGTGTGCTGAGCAAGCGGTCAAACCATCTTTTGTTTTTGAAAGACAAAACTACGAATCATAAACTAAAGATTTGAAAAGGTAGTGGTTCACTAGCATGGTAATCGTTTAGTTGCGTTAATGTAATCAAACACAGCGGAGCATACATCCCTGTGACAGTAACCAAATGAAGTTCCGCCAAGTGATAAAATTACTGGTAAACTTACTTGTATTCCGAGCTTCTTTTGTAATGGGGTTACTAAAAATCTTTTTCTCTGATAAGAATAACGATGACAGAATAAAAAGAAATGTTAACAAGATGGCGACAGTTCATCAACAACCAGCCACGAACGTCGTCTTTCTCTTTCTTCCAGACAGGCTGTGCCGGTGGTTGCGTATCAATATGATTTGTCCATGTGTTACTTTCGCAAGAGCAGTGACACGTGGTTTCAAATGGAGAGTGCTTCGAAGACCGGTGAATGAGAGCAGCATTTTTTCTGCATAGACACGTCATCTAGCAATCTTATCTTTTTCTCCTCTTTCAAAGGGCTGTCTGAAGAACATGATTTTCGTCTGCGGCAGGCTCATACCGGCAATAGGAAGCCTGCTTCTGACATCCAGTGTAGCCCAGGTGAGTACAAAACAAGCAATGAATTTACCAAGTCGTGTCGCAAAACAGTGTGTATCTTATGCAACTGAACAACTGTTCCGTTACGTTATATTTGTTTTGCTATGAAGAGATTGACGTTTTATTACGTCGGCTACTCCATTTCTATGAGTTCTGCAGCGAGAAAACAAAAAGGGGAGGGGGGATAGTTACCTCGAACGAACAATGAGCAGCTAAAACACATACAGGCTATATAGCACACTGGAACAAGTCAAGATAACATGGTAGTGTACAGTTAACTTGCAGAAGTTCACATTGCAATAAAGCGTTTATACGCACGCATTGCTCACAGTATATGAGCTAACACTTTATTCCTATATAACAACACAAAGCTGTACATCACCAGCCTTTATCTAGTCCATTGTCTACTAAGGAGTAGTTATGTTTGGGGCACGCGAAGGATGGCCAGTCTCTAGACGGCCATTCTTCGGGCGGGCGGGCGGGTACGTGGACGGATACATGGACGGATGGACGCTTCGCCCCAGTCATCATCATTCACTGCGTGGATATATGCTGTAATTTTTTATAGCGATACGTTTCATCCCCGGCTCAGCGTGCTTGTCGAAACAGAGTTGAAATACTATAGTTACGTCCTATGACCACACGTAAAAGACTTTTTGGGGATTTAAACCAATAAGTAGTGGCGTACTGTGACGCCCATAACGGCCTATTTATGAACTTGAGACCGAAAATTATGAAAGCATTGCTTAGCCATACGGTTTTAGCAGGACATTGATGGGGGACCAGTCAAATTTCTGAACCCGATTTTCGAACCTAACTACTGATAACCATTCCCATCTTTTTTCGCAATCATATCACATCAAGCACAGCTGGTTTTCGGTTTACCGCGGTTGGGTTCCAAACAGTCACGGAAATTCAGCTTAATGTGCTTTGTGAAGATCCCTTTGCGTTAATATTACGGAAAAACTTTCCTAGGTACACAGTGTTAAATGCACGGTGTAAGAAATAGCTTTTACACCGTGGTTAAAGGTAACCATACTCAAATAAGTAATCAGTCAATGGTTATGTACCGCTATGATCTTTCTGATCGTGTTTCGAAATTTGTGTTTCAGGTGTGGATTAAGATTCCGTTGCCTGGCTTTGTCCTAAACCTAGAAAAATATACATGCCTTCATCTATACATATTACTGCAATCCAAGTCTTTTCATTTCAGTGCATTGCGATTGTTGTAAATCGTGTCGACCAGTCACAAGCCGAAGTTCAAGCCAAGCTTGATCGGGCGAACAATCTAGAGGAGTACAGAATGAAAACAGGTATATGTCATTTGTGTTGTTCATAACGCAACAGCGCATTCCCTCGGAAAACACCACTGTCTGTTGCGTTTATTATAGACCATTAAAATACCAACAAAGGAGATACGTAGCCCTTATGTTTATCTTCCTTAGCTTACTGAAGAGCTTTCATATAAGTAAGGAAAGCAAAACCGCACTTGTACAAAATGCTTGTCTTTTTGCAGCAATATATAACATATATCTTTAGATACTAAAAATTAATCGCGAGAATACAAACCTGATGGCGAGATCTGGTTTCGATTACTATCCACATAATAAGCTGACATTCATTATCGCATTCACAATTATAGCGTCTATGTCTCTGCATGTTTGGCACACTGATCGGCTATAACTGTGAACAAGCATTTGGAATAAAATACAGAAATCTAAAATGATTAATTTTGAGCACATAATTGCGATGTTGTAGTAAACTGATAACATGCTTTTCTTGCTTGAAACAATCACACTTGAAAAGTGTATTTTAGAAATCACGCTTGATATATACTAATTTTACACTAAAGTTCATATTTGAAAGTGGACTGGCTGTGAATGACGTCACAGTGACGCTATGACACAGAGCTCAGCTTCCGCTCAGTAATCATACACCGCTTAACTTAATGTGCATCGAAGTTCGAAAACAAACGCCCCATTAAAAATACATGTCAGGATTCCTTTTAATTCATAACATCTATACGAGGAATTTTCGGGAAATTTTGCGTATCTGGTGAAATCATATACTGTGAGACTGAGAACAGCTTTATGGTGCTGCGCATCATCCGTTCAGATTGAATTCGTTTACATGTAATGCCTATGAATTCTTCATTCTTAGTATTCCCCCACAAAACTGTAATCAGTTGCAACAAAACGTCAAGCTTCATCTAGACCAAGATTAAACTTTTGAAAGTTGAGCCATCCGCGTAAGTGTGTACTTTGCTATTCAGTGGACCAATTCATCGGCTCATGGGCACCTAGGAAAAGCCGATCTTGGGGCGGAAACCTCGACTACTCGGACTCAATGTTTAGCGGTTCTGTAGGTGCGAGGTAAGCGCGAGTTCCCTTCCATTTCTTTTTGTTTTTTTTTTTTTAGCGTTTGTGCTTGTTTTTGTTTTCTTGGATGGTATTTAGGCTAAAGTGAAAACTGACTGCATTGAGAAAGGTTGACAAAAACGAAACAGGAACAATGGCTTTCCTTCATATATAGTGTAATTGTGATGTTGCAGTCAAAACACCGGCTAACATGGCATTCTAGACCGGCAATTGGTCTTTCTGGGCATGACATACGTTGTTAGATACAATGTCCAACAAAACCATTATAGATTCCATGTCTCGAAGGATCAACAACTGTTAAGCTCTATTCCCGATAGTTGCAGGCTTTTCAGATTGCAGTCACGACAGCTTGTACAGGACCACACAGAAATATCAGATAGTGATGCTTCGAGGCGTGAAGGTAACCTTCTTATCTATAAATTTCTTCTAGTCATGAATGTGCCACTTGAATGCTGTATGATAAACCATCGTCATAGAGCATACAAGTTGTATGCGCGGAAGATACATTTGCCAAAGGTTGCCTTGTATGCGCGCTTTCAACTATCGACAAAATGAAGCGCCATGCTTTCTGAGGTGCTGATCACCATTATAGATTTATTGCTGGGTGAAAGTTAGACTAACGGTTGCAAAACTCGGTAAATAATTATTTTCATTCTCCGCTTTCTTTAAAAAATCCTCATGCATTTGGCACCTGTCGTTCCACTTCAAGATCCTTATGAAACGTATGTCGTAGACAAAAAAAAAGCAATTTTCATTTAAACAAAATACTTCTGATTGAAGTCAGTGACATTGCCAGTCTGCGTAAAAAAAAAAAAAAAACTACGGTCCATCATTTCACCTGTTCACAAGCAACAAGTAGTGATGCGTCAAATGCAACTAACTCATCATTGCAACCGCACCATTATTCATGTGCTGCAAATCGAATACATTTTTTTGCAAAATAACAGTACGTGACATAATTACAAAGCGGCCGTTCGAAAACAATACGCAACCGGGTTTCACGGTGAAGCAAGCTTTATCTTGCGGCCGGCCACTTGCAAACGTGGGTAGATAGACCGTAGAAGCGCTTTATCGAGGCTGCGGGGCTGTCCGGACGCACTCATCTGGCGCCACTGATGAACAGACGGGCAATCCACTAAGGTACACATACATACGCACTACTTTATGGCTCATCGTAGCTGACATCACAGTGCTATTTCCATCTCTTATTTACGCTCATCTTTTCTCAAAAGCGGGGGAGAGGGGTCAGCAATAATTTATGTACGTGCGTGCGTGCGTTTGTGCATGTGGCTGCATATGTAAAGATGAAAACTGAAAATTTTCGGGAAGAGCTTAAACCTGCCCTCCCCTTCCCCCCCCCTCCCCACGGCTACACCATGCGCGCTTTACGGTACATATATGTAGAACATGATGTTCATAATGACTCGGTTTTGCTACGAACGGCTAGTGAAGAAATAATGTCGACGTCACACGATTTTCCTTATCGCAGTCTTACACGCTTGTGTCTGACACGAAATCATTCGCCGCACCGAAACACATCGTTTCACTTTCAGTAGCATTTGCTGAAGACATGTTGCGGTGCTTAGGTCACAGGCGAAACATCAAGAAGACGCAGGACAGAATGTTATGTCCTGTGCCTTCGGTTCCTTCGTGCTGTTACACTTATGAACATGATTCACCTGTTAACACTTCACCTATAATACCTGATAACGGTGGGATATAGTTCCGCGTACCGCGGATTCCTAAAGTGAGCGGGGATGCACGTTCATACTGTTGTTGTTGTTGTTGTTGTTGTTGTTGTTGTTGTTGTTGTTGTTGTTGTTGTTGTTGTGTTGTTGTTGTTGTTGTTGTTGTTGTTGTTGTTGTTGTTGTTGTTGTTGTTGTTGTTGTTGTTGTTGTTGTTGTTTGCGGGGAAGTGCACAGTGTTATCTTCTTCCGCTACATTCTCACGCAGGGAAACTGCTGCCGCTACCACGCCACGGGTGAAACTGCGGTTCGGCGCCGTCAAGTCTCCTCCGGAGAGGATCCGGCCTCCGATCAAGATCGTCATCACCGAGGCCCCATCCGACGCCTCCACCAGGGCCGCCGCTGGCGCTGCTTTCCAGCGAGACACGCAGGGAGAAGGGGGAACCCTGTCCCTTCCCGACTTCAGTAACTACGCAAACGTCGAGTAGGAGGCCGTCGCTGGGACAATGGAAAACTTCACCTGCACGAAAGCACGCAGCGTATGCTTACGGCTGTAATACGGAACGACAGTTCAAGCCCTGTAATCTCTACTATATGGTCTGCTCTTTCACACGTGAGAACGACTAATGGTTCTCAGGTCGGACATTCGCGCTAACTTAATTGTTTCGGAGCTACCGGGTAAAAAAAAAAGCTAGTACATGCTTTCTAAAAGTGTGCACCAGAGTCTACACGCTTGGCGCCTCACCTTGCTGCATTTTCTTTTTTTGCAAGTTGCAGTGAAGTTAGTTTAGCTGTGCGTGTTTGAAGACGAAGTTAATACGAATCAGCAACATGTCTAAACTGCCACGTCAGCAAACTTTGTCACCTTTTACGTAGGCTATTACTCGCGCATGCGTGTCTCCTTTTAAGAAATATATTCGCGGAACTTATCGCACATTTTGCTATAACAACTGTTGTTTGAAACTATTTATAAACAATTCACAACTAACCTGAATGTTTCCACTCGAACAGATGCTAGCACAAGTAAATATTGCGCGCTAGCTTTTGACTTCTTTTATTTAAATTTTAACAACATTCCTGTAATAAAAACTTTCTCCAAACCTT